TATTCTCCCACACCTAAAAAAAACGAAAATTAAAAAACAAGCTGAATGAACAAAACAAAATCTTTCTTAAAATATACAATGTACTGTACAATTAAATAATATGAGTTTCCCCCTCATAATTTGACTGAGAGATTAGTTCAAAAAGTAACCATTCCCAAAAGTAACGCCCCCCCTCCCCCTTGCCAAAAAATGTGTTAATAAATAAGGCTAGCTAATAACTGACACACCAATGTTATGTAACATATGATTCCCAGGAAAGTTCAAAGTATGGGTCATATTTCAGTTGGCCCAACTTACTCTTGGTGGGAAGGCAATAGGGTAACCGTTATCACAATAAATTAATGCAATCAATGGTTCAACAGAAAATGGTGTTATCTGCACTGCAAGTGTGAACATCACTATTTGCATATATGCAAACCCTCCCTGATTACCCAGGAGTCGCCCCGATACAGCAACAATATGGGCCCACGGAGGGAGGGGGGGGGTGCTCCTGGGAATTCTTACCAGACCAGAACTCTAAAATCCACACCCATTTTCAGACTTAGCCTTTAGGCAGAAATTATGTCATCATTACTTAGATTAGAGTGCAAAAAAATAATTCTTCATATCCATTTCTCTTTCTTTCTTACTCATTTAGAATTGAAACAATATATACAATCATACACTCCCGCAGTTCCCTCAAAAACCATACCTAATTCTAAACCAAAATGGGCAAAATCGTATACCCCTTTTCAGACCAAAAAGGCGCAAAAACCCTACCCATTGGGGCGGCGCATACCTACATGGCTTATATAAGGGAGTGCCCCCGCCCCGCCCCCCGAGGGTACAGGTCACCAAATCTCCCTTATAAAATCAACTTTTGAGCTTTTCTGTGCTAAGCAGATTTTGATGGTCTGCACTTCATGTAAGACTTTATATAATGTCCCAAGCCACACCGATGTTATAAATAGGGGACTCAGTCGATTCGTTTTTATCAGTGGGAGTTGGCCATTGATATCTTGCAGGTGTAGGGGGGAAATGCAAAAGAGAGAGCCTCCAGATTTTAGATCTCCAGAGGTTAGCATCTATGCACAACTGTCGTTACCTCATTTGCATTCAGTGAGTCTTTCGTAAATATTTTTGCTTGTCACACCAGTCAGTACATCTTAATACAGCACTGTCAGCATTTACAAACACATTTTTGTTTTTGTTCTCTTTACTGGTTTGCACAAGACACAAAATTTAACTTAAATTAATTAACCTGTGGAGGATCCAAGGTAACAGAACTGTTTGTCCATTCCTTCTGCATGAAATGTTTAACATTGCTGAAAGCTTTCCTTGCAACATGGACACAAGAGAAGCTGCAACAAAAAAAAGAAACATTAATAAGACTTACAATGTATATGATGCAGTTTATTTCAGTTATTTTTTTATTTCCTTTGTTTTTGGGCTATGGTAATGTATGCTAATGAATTTGAAACAAGGAAAAACAAGAATAAACTGAAATAACAAATTAACTGCAACATCTATACCATCTTCTATTCAGAGAGGTTATTTNAGTACATCTTAATACAGCACTGTCAGCATTTACAAACACATTTTTGTTTTTGTTCTCTTTACTGGTTTGCACAAGACACAAAATTTAACTTAAATTAATTAACCTGTGGAGGATCCAAGGTAACAGAACTGTTTGTCCATTCCTTCTGCATGAAATGTTTAACATTGCTGAAAGCTTTCCTTGCAACATGGACACAAGAGAAGCTGCAACAAAAAAAAGAAACATTAATAAGACTTACAATGTATATGATGCAGTTTATTTCAGTTATTTTTTTATTTCCTTTGTTTTTGGGCTATGGTAATGTATGCTAATGAATTTGAAACAAGGAAAAACAAGAATAAACTGAAATAACAAATTAACTGCAACATCTATACCATCTTCTATTCAGAGAGGTTATTTTCCACACCCACAACCCATTCTAAGTTTGACCAATCCTCTTCTTCATAATGATGAAAACAAAAGTCATGGACAGATTGCACGAAGATTATTTTATGGTTTTTATGGTTCTATCATTTTTCTATGGTTGACAGAGACACCATGCATTAAAATCTTAGTTCACAGTGTAACTTTGGGTATTAAATCTCTTCTCTCGATTTTCTCTTTAGCAATTTCAGTTTTGGAGTATTACACAGCCAATAAAGTTATGTCATGTTTCAGTGCATAGCAGTGCTTTCTGCCTAAGACACAGAGCTAGGGATCCAATTTCAGTAGCCTTCTTTGATCGAGTCACTATATTTTCTGATTTTAACCATTTATTTGAGTTACTCGACCAGGTTTTGCACCCAATACCGGTAGTGCCTTTTATATATTGGAATTAAGCTCAAAAAACATTTTAAAAACGCTCAATGCCAATTTTATGAACAATTTTCATGTCAGAAATGTATGTTTCCCATACAAAGCCTTGGAGTAGAATGCGAAGTTTGTCTGAGTCATGTGGGGGGGTCTAAGGTGACAAAACCTATTTTTAGTAATAGTGGAAAGTGCAATATTGTGATAATGATGCAAGCATTGTAATAAGAGCGTTGTGTTCATCAAGCATTAGTCAAGTTATTCAAGTTGAACTGCGGTCAAGCTCATTTCACTACCCTATTTCCCTCCCACCCTTATAGTGTTGGAGTTATATATTGTCAAATCCTAGTTTTGTATCTCATCTGAATTGCATTCTGACAATAAACTCCTTTGTCTCCAAACTCGTGGTCTGAGGTTAAAGGTAAACAATTTTTTGTACGGCAATGAACACTGGATTAAATATACCCACCTCAAAAAAGTCAGGGAAAACACGACTAAATGGTGTAATGTCCATTTCTCGTTATTCGCCATTGTTATAGAATCACATGATTCAGAATGGCGCCCATATATTAGAATGAGACAATAGTTCAAGTACATGTTTATTACTAAAAACACTTTGGATACATGCCATAATTACTCCTTTCCCTCAAAGTAGCCTACAGCTTATCGAGGCGGGAAGGAAAAGTAAAAAAAAATACAATAATTGGGTTGAAACAGATACACGAACATCGACAAATTGAATTAACATATAACATATCTCGTTTCAAAATAGGTAAATGAAACAAGGTGTGAATGAAATTAAACTGAAACTTGAATATTTACTGAGTATGTCAATTAAAGTACACACGTCAACATTGGTATCCTTCTGTATCAAAATATCCAGTAGCCGACAATGTAGGGTATTCTTAAATTTATATTCAGGTACAGCACGATCACTGTCGGGAATACTATTCCATATGTTTGCACCAATTCTTGAAAAGGATGGACCTTTCTCGAGTGCTTAATACAGAAATTGTCAGCCGAAGAAAATCGTGTATTATGATAATGAACAATGAATAAAACATAACCTTACCTTTTTCAATAACTTTGTTGTGGCGATCAACAGCCGCTGAGGTTCAGGTTGCGCGTGTGATGCAGAGAAGAACTGGCACGAGCACTTGATCCGCTGGGGTGGAGTGGGTAGTTTCTTAAGAGGTTATTTAAAATATATTTTCAACACTGTTGGCTCACAACCCACAGGTAATATGTTCATGCCTTTCATTAGGCAATCTTTTTAAGTGGCATGAAAATTTCGGGTAAAATAGTAAAATCATTTAAGCGCTCGGGAGCCCGCATTGTATCATTTGTCAGTTGCGGTAGCAGCATGCGCACTAATACATTCCATCATTTGTTGCTACAGTCATTTGCATAACTTTGTTGACATCTTTCCCTCGTCTTCTGGACCTTGGTATCCTTTGGTAAGTTTTTTCCATCATTTTAGTTCGTTTTTTAGTTTTGCAATTTTACGATCTGTTATTGCTGTTGTTGTTTATTTTTTTGCGATAAGTGTTTTGTTGCCATCAAGGATTCTTCAGAAACTGATCTGAAAGAGGACGGACATTTTCAAAACACTAAATGACCGGCAGTCCAATATTTTCAATAAATTTGACTTATCTAAGAATCCCAACCAATCCAATCATATGTCAATTAAGAAAAGTTCAAGAGATCCTGAAATGCTTTATAGATCTCAAGTCTAGCGTTTGGTTTCGATGGGCTCAGAAATTATTTTCAATAAATTTGACTTATCTAAGAATCCCAACCAATCCAATCATATGTCAATTAAGAAAAGTTCAAGAGATCCTGAAATGCTTTATAGATCTCAAGTCTAGCGTTTGGTTTCGATGGGCTCAGAAAACGAAACCATGTTTTGTGACACTAAGAACTTTTTTCAGGTCGACAGGACTGCCGGTCAAGGTTTGTAAAACACTAAATGACCGGTAGTCCTATATTCTCAATAAATTTGACAAATCGAAAAAATCCATCTAATCTAAACTATCATATGTCGATTAAGAAAACTCAAGCGATCCTGAAACACTTTGTAGATCTCAAGTTTAACGTTTGGTTAATGCTGCGCTCAGAAAACGAAACCATGTTTTATGACACTAAGAACTTCTTCCAGGTTGACTGCCGGTCAAGATTGTCAAAACACTAAATGACTGGCAGTCTACCCTGCTAGCAGAGTCGCTTCGATCTTTCCTAGATAAGTCCGGAAAGGAGAAAGAGGAAAGAGGAAAGTGGAACAAGGAAAGAGGAAGCTGAAAAAAGTTCTCTAAGTGTCACGAAACATGATTTCATTTTCTGAGCTCAGTGTAAACCAAACGCTAAACTTGAGATCTATAAAGCATTTCAGGATCGCTTGACTTTTCTTAATCGACATATGATAGTTTGGGGTGGTTGGGATTCTTAGATACAGTGTAAGTCAAATTTATTGAAAATACTAGACTGCCGGTGATTTAGTGTTTTGAAAACCTTGACTGGTTACCGGCCATTTAGCCACAGCGTTAATTATAACTACCGTACTAACAAGCATCACCATTATGTTTTTGCCCTTCCACTTTGTGGTGGACTTTGTCAGGTTTTTTGAACCTGGAATAAAGATGAGCTCTATAAGTGTTAACCTTTTTATACATCAGTAAGAGAAGGAGATTTAATTCTAAAGGAACAGCAAGGAGAAAGAGAGCTACTGTTTGACCTTCGTACTTCATCCGATCCAGGGAGCATGAAAGACAATATCAGGACTAGACTTTCATCCCAGCAAGTCAGCATCAGTCATGATAAGCTATGCTTTCAGTGCCCTAGTTTATTTTGGGCGATCCTAGTTTATTAACTACTGTACTAATTTATTTTCACTGTTGAACATTGTAGACCATGTACATCGTAAAAATTATCTGAGTAATTTACTTCAGCATCTGAATCAACCATCGTACTTTTATCATTTGGGTCAAACCAAATAGCTACAGTGGATGCCCTCATCAGTGGACACTTTTGGGATGCAAAAAAGGAGTCTGTAACCGGAGCTGGCTGCTTACGGGAATTTAAAAAAACAGAGTTTGTAAGGAGTTGAGAAAAACAGGGTTTTGTGAAGGTGGCAGTAAGTAGAGCTGTAAGCTTATATGAGAGTGTTCGTTAGGAGAGCTTCTACTGTGTTAAGTTCAGTGCAGGTGAAGTCCAACATTTGAACTGGGCCTAAAGGACCACAGTGTTAAGGTAGTAGAACAGCTTCTATATGGCTGGGTATTCTGAATTGCTCCTTTCTCTTATTTCAGAGACATTATTGACATCAAACAGGGAACGAAGTGAAGTACGTAGAACAAAAAGATGTCTGCTTCATTGTTGAGGATGTGCATTCGTCCAGCCCAACCACTTCTTCACTCTAGACATTCCTTTCTGAGGCATTCATCCACATGTTCAACTGGTGCAGTTCTCTCTAAGCCCGAGAAGACACGCTTTGGTTTAACAAAAGTAACTTTGATTGTGGTTCCGTTCTTGTATGTTGGTGGTATTATCTCCCGTGAGGGAGCAGCCTGGCTGGAGGAAAATGATATTTTTTCACCTGAAGATGATGACTAGCAAACCATGGATTTTTGAATTTGACACAAGTTACTTTATACTTTCTCTGAGCTCTAAATAATGTTGTATTTATTTAGTACTTAACTTTACTCATGTGTGGGATGTAGTCAATAATAATTTACCAATAACTTATTAATATTAATGTACAAGTTAAACTACTTCTACGTAATACTACTGGAACCAGCAATGTGCAAGTCAGGTCTGAAAGTGAAAAAAGCTGATGGTGCTTCTTCTTTGATGTACTTAATAGTAAAAATGCTCAGAAGGTAATGCTTTTAAAATTTACAGTTATGTTGTTACAAGCAAAATTATTAACTGTCCTTAGATAACCATGCAAGACTTATAAACTTGAACTTCTGCTGCATTGGTTAAGAGCACTTTTTATGTTATTTGACATTCTGAAGAGACTTAAGAATAACCTATAAAGTTTTTATTGATACTGATCAATAAACCTCACAATAACAGTACCTCCCTTCTTCAAAGTCTAGTGAATACTATACTTTGATAACCACTGAGTTGACAGAATAGCAGCATTTTTACACTTTTCAAGGGCTATCGGTGTAATTAGTTATCTGTAATAACACCAAAGAAAATTTCTTATGAGAGTGCAAGAAAATAAAATAAAAATGTCAAATTTCACAAAACGACATCTTACACATGGAATTTGCAGAATTTTACTTGTGTTTTCACAATTCTTGTGAAATTTGATATTTATTTTCTGGGGCTCCCATGGGAAATAGTCCTTGGTGTTATTACAGATAACTAATTATATTTATAGCCCTTGAAAAATGTAAAAAAGAATGCGATATTGATTAAATTATTCTGATACAAGGTTTTTGTCCACTGCAAATTGACATTACTCAATTTCCTGATGGATTCTGTCTTAATGTTTTATCCCGTGATCACAAATGTTACACAATATCTTTTTTCATTAAAGGGCAAAGGTCAAAGTGGATTTTGTACACCATAGTTCTTATTTTTTTAGGAGCCTTGATTTTCTTTTAATTTATTGCCTTTAAGTTTAGGAAACATTAATTTTAGAGGTTTTTTAGGAAAGCCTTGGACTTTTTTTACTTGTAATTTCTATTTTCGTTTAAAACTGTTTGTAATTTACTGCATGTTTGCTTTCTAATATGTATTTTATTCTATATGTTAATTTTTTGTAATTCTTGTTTATTAGTTTTTAAATTCTTAGTCAGCAGGATTTTGTTGATAAGGGTTATCCTGAATAAATATCTGATAATTATTATTATTATTAAAGCCTATTTGCAATATGTTTAATTAATTTTTATTATTCTGGTACAAGGTTTTTGTCCACTGAAAATTAAAATTACTCAATTTCCTGATGGATCCCATCTTAATGTTTGTAAAATGACAAGTGCTGAGTTCACTGAGTTTCAGGAATAACCGTCCCTATTGGCTTTCAGCAACGTTTTAGGAGATTGTCCCAAGGGGTTCATCTTAAGCTAATGTATAGAGATATTTCAAGAAAGATAGTCGGAAAAAGTGCACACAACTATCCTGAAAGGTATTGTGGGTGGTTTTGAGTTCACCGTTCTTCAAAGAAGTTTGAAAGAATGACACGAGAGGCCATGAACGTATGTTTGCGAGTGCTAAAAGAAAGCAACAAAATTAGGTTCGACAGCTACAGTGTCAGGAACGGGGTGTATTGATTACATCCCATATTACCTTTCGGGATTGTTGCGTGCACATTTTTTCCGACTACCTTTCTCGGAATAGCTGTATATGGGAAGTGAGGCTAACTCTGAACTGAAATTCCAGAGTGGTGGGTGTTTTTAAAAATTAAATACCCTACATGATAACAGGAGCCAATTACCTAATCGGCTCTTGGTGATAACAAAAAAATACTTTTATTCAGCTTTAAAACTATGTACGTAATTTACAGAAATATTTGAGGTAAGAATTAAGCACTATACAACATTAAGAATTATATAAATCATAAAAATACAATCACTGTGTCAATAATGATTTCCCAAATACATTCCTTGTGGCTCAGATGCGATCAATAACTCTTGCAGGAAGTCCAGTGTTTTAAATTTAGTCATTACAAAAGAGAATTATCTGTCTCTGACATTAAAAAGAAACCAGTGATGACGGATTCTTTTTCTGTTGTGCTACACAGTAACATCAGGTACAAAAGAAACTTAAAAGAACACTGAGGGTTAGCAACCTCTAGGATTATAGAAATGAGGTGGGGGTGGGGTGCATTACTTGCACTTCTTTTCCCAACTTTAGACCAAAGGGGGACAAAAACCATAACCCTTTTAATGTTGAACATACCCTTATAGCTTAAATAAGGGAGTTGTTCCCCCACCCCCCTCCATATGTGCAACCCATGCCAAACTTTCCACAAGTTCGTACTGTTAGAAGAAATGCAAATTACAAGTTTTCACTGACTGAATTAAGGCCAATCTTGCAGGCTCGTTACCAAGGCTAAAGTAAACAAAGGGCAGGTCCCTAGCGCCACGCCCCTAACCCTCCCCTCCCCACTCATCGCCATATCAACACAAATCCCATAGTGCACTTCTTCATCGCATGGACAAAATGGCGGGCTTGTGTTAAAGAAGGAGAACATGACTTATGTGGGATTTTTACCATCATTTCTGCCATGACATATTATTTTACACGATTTTTACATCAATCAGGAGACAGACGACTTCAGAAAATATTTTTTCGATGGCTTTGATGGAGGATAAGTTTGCGTATCCAAGAAAGAGGTAGAGCTTGATGAAACGGTGGCAACGCAGACAAACGCTGTAGTTAAGCTGATTTTTAATCTTTATTGTTAAATTTGTTTTGAACAACCAACAAAAAGGTTGTCTCGTGTTTTTGGTAGCAATTTATGACCTATTTCTTTTTACTTATGGCAATAGTAAACCTGTGGTTGGCATATTTAGAAGTCCTATGCAGCTTCATCGACCGTAAAACTGCTGTAGTTCCACTACTATTATTTAGCTTGTTTGATTTATGTCTAAAGTATCTAATAGGTTGTGCTTCCACAGGTCACTAAATCAACATAATCAATACTCCAAGCCTAAATCTTGTGATCGTCAATAATATTATATTTATGAACTTATCATTGTCATTTTGCGGGGCTAGACCCCAGTTCAACCCCAGGGATCTGCTTTTGGTCTCAAACAAAAGGCTACTGAAGCCCTAGCGTATGGGGAGTAAAAGCAAACTGGTTACCAGACATTTCAATTCAAAGTTGTTTTGATACAAGTTAATTCAGTCAAGGTGTAAATATTTTCACATACTTGGCTTGAAGAACAAAGAATAATCACCCCAAATGTTTTTCTAGCTGAGGCGCAAACTATACATGTGAAAGTGATCCAAATTCTTGTGTAATCTTGGTGCTTGAGGTCGTATCAAAACAACTTTGTATTGAAATGACCAGTTTCCGAGCAAGTTTAATCAACCTCCCCAGGACAAGAGGTGCCAGAATTTAAGGTGATATTTATTGGCCATTGAGTGCAGTCCCTGTAGGGGAAATTTGTACCTGATCAACTGGGGATGGCTCAGGGCTATAGCAGAGGACTATATTTAAGAGGAGGCAGGTAGATTACCTTTTTCTTTTTTCTCCTTATTTGGGACCAAATATGTTCCATGTCCCCTTCCCCTTAGGGGGAAATAAGTACTCCAAAGCCCATGGCTGTTTGGAATTTTTTTTTAGCGTGTTATCTTTTTGGGGTCAAATGAAGCCTGTACCCTGTCCAATTTGGTCTTTTTTTAGGTTTAACCCATACTTTGCCAATTTAAAGCTACAACAGCCATGTACCTTTAACAAAAGTATTATGCAAATGAACAAGATTACAGAGAACTTTGTTGACCCATTTAACTCTATCTGTACCTGTCTCTTTAAGTCTAGGCATGGAAGAGACTCCACTGACCCTTGAACAGGTTGAACACATTCCTACAATCCCTAGGGAATTATCATCAGTAAGAATTCGGGAATTTGATGAAAGTACTGCTAACCCTGAGCCAATTGTGCAGGATGACGAGGCAGATCATTTGCTGGAAGAATTTCTCTCGCCAGCAAAACTGGTAAGTGTGTGATGAATAACTGTAGAAGTTTTAAGAACTGGACTGGTTTTTTAAAATTTTTTTTTTAAACTCCATCAGTAATTTGTTTATCACATATTATGAGGCCTTAGAGAGGGTAGGTATGTCCATAATCTGAATTCCAAAAGCAGTTGTTTCGCATATTGAGGAGGGAACCATGTCCCTTTCAGTATTTTACTACTTTTTGTGATTTTCCCTGTTACTGTTGCAGTGTCAACCTACATGTATCTTCATGTCACTTGTCGCCATTTCATCTGTCTTATGTCACTGTTTCAAGGCCATATGACCTGTTGGAATTTTACCCTAAAAGGCCTCAACTACCACCACAAGTTATTGGGCAGACGTAAAATATGGTTGCTTTACCTTTTTTGGTAATTTTGCTGATTCCTACCATCTGTTCAGTTATAAAAAACATTTTGGCAATTAAAATTACTTATACGTATAAACTGGTTATATATCACCAGGTGAGTAACATTTACAAACTGTACTGTTGACTAATATGGTTATTTTATTATTGTTTTGTTATTTGTACTTTTCATCTTTTAAAGAGATTTCTGACCGGCATGAAGAATCTAGATGAGGTTAAATATCTTGAAATGAAAGTTGATACAAGAGATAACAGTCTTGGAAATTTTGGTAAGAATTACTAATTTCTGTGGTTTATGCAACGGAACTTTGTGCCCAGGTTGTGCAAAATAATCTTTTACCTTCTTGACTTGTTTCCTCCAGGTGCTTTGCTGCCAAACTTGGTTGAGCTTAAGTTGACCAACAGCATTATAGCTACTATAAGGTAAGTCTATATCTAACGTGCATTAGATTTAGTGGAACCAAGCTGAATATTGAGAAATTTCTGCAATTTGATTGGCTCAGAGCAGTGGTATTTCAGCTTAATTTGAAATACCTACATGTGAAAGAAAAAAAAACTTTTGCAAGTAGCAGTATAAACAAATAATAGCATGATTTGTACGTGATATTTGACATGAATACCACTCGTGATATTTCAAAATTGTCTCAAATTTCACTTGCCTAATGGCTCGTGAAATTACGTATAACAATTTCAAAATATTGCTGGTAGTATTAATGCTAAATATCACTACAAATCATGCTATTATTTAGACAAATTTAATAATGATTTATGGAGTTTGAATAGAAATTGTGTAAAAGTTTTTAGGTACACTGTATTATGCGTACAGTTTTTATGGTGTCATGTACATTGAGAACTGCTTATTGCGCCCTGCTGTTGTATAATAATACCTTTTAAGGCCAAACAATTCCCCGTCAAGAGAGTTACTTACATGCTGGTTTATTTGATTAATTAGAGACCTTGGTACCTCTTTGACAAGTCTAAGGACTCTTTGGATGTCAAGGTGTGGTCTGATTGAATTGGATGGTATCAGTTCAGTCTCCTCATTGAAGGTAAATACATAAATATCACTCAGGTACTTGCCGGGCCCCGGTTGTTCAAACATCAGATAATGCTATCCAATGGATAAATAACTATTCAGCAGATAAGTATTAGGGAAACCAATTGCATATCCACTGGATAGAGATTTGTCCTGTGGATAGTGTTATCTACCTTTTGAACAACTGGGTCCTGGACCCTAATCCCTGTTGGGAAAGTGAGCTTAAGGTGATTCCATAGTAAAAGAACCTAACATAGATTTTAGCTAAAACTTGGTACACTGATGTAACAAGTCAAGAAGATGATAAAAAAAGTAATAAAAAGTGGGGGTCACCGTGCTCGTTTTGACGTCACAATGCTGACAAATACGGCTATTTAGGACCCTTTTACAAAAACCGCAGGCAGCGCAAAACTAGACAAAAAAGAGAGATTTTTTCGATGATGCATGTGACATCACACAGAACTTGACTTTAATGTATTGTTTATCCACTTACGTACCAGAAAAATGCCTTTTAATGCCCTTGTTTTTACTTTACGCTCCAAAGTAGAATTAAATTGGACGCGCGCTTTTCGACCCGTGTTGCTCAATCCGTACAATTTAGTAAAATTACCAAAAAACTGAACATAGATTTGTGCCAATTTTTTTCTCATCGAAAAGAAGCACTGTCCTTATTAAGATCATGAAATAAAAAATGGGGGTCACCGTACTCGTTTTTGCAGTAGAGCTGCAGAAAGTGTGCACCAAACGCATTTTCTCCGATTTTTGAGAGAGAACTGGGGCGAGTTTCAAAATAGAATGTATGTGAAAGGGGGAAGAAAGTATTAGAAAATCCGTTTTTACAGAATTTACATCGAGATATCACATTTAGGACACAATGTGATAAAGAAAGTGTTTAAATGAAAATCAAAGTGAGTAAGCACAAGTTAAACATCCACTATCGAGATTCTCCGAGAGGAGGTCGAACTCAGCAACACGCGTACTGCTTACGTTATGCACATTCCCAACACATTGAGTCTCACCTCGGCAAGAAACAACAGCAAGCAAAAATTCCAATAGTGTTTCTCTTCAGTCAACTTCATTTTAATAATATTACTTCACATGCTCTTTTTTACGGTGGCCATCTTGTTATACGCAGTAAGAGATGCGCAGTGCAAAACTTGGGAATCACCTTAAAAAGTTAGTTACCCAGCAAGAAAATCTACTTGTCCTGATCATTGCACTGGACTTTTCCCAGCCCTGTAAAATACATGTATGATAATTACCAAAAAGGTCTTTTATTTTCTCTGGCAAATACATTATTTAAGTTGATAAATTTCAAACTTCCGAGCTAAATTTGAAAAAAAATCAAATATTTTGCCGAAACTCTTGAACTTCATCAGCAATGTCAAATGTCAGGTACGTAAGAGAAAGGAAGTTAGGTATTCCCTCCCAGCCATTTACAGTCCTCTCCTGGGAATACGTAACGACCTTTCTGTTACAAATGCTGATGGAGTTGGAGTGATTCGCATGAAATATTCAATTTTGTTAATAAATTTGGCTCTGAGTTTTGAAATTTGTACATTAAATTAATTTTAGGATAGTAGTTTAGTTGCAAATTTAAATAAAGTTGGAAGTTGGATCTAATCCTTTGCTCAGTTTAAATTGGTACCAACTCTACATTCCATTTTGTAGGAGTTGTATTTGGCCTTTAACGACATAGAAGATGTCAGCCCCCTTAGCATGCTGGATCAGCTGGAGATTTTAGACTTAGAAGGGTAAGAAAAATACTTATACTAATATTAGTAGTAAGCAAAGGTTAGGGAGGGTAGGCGAGGTTGAAGGATCTTTGCATCCCATTAATTCCTAGTCAAAGTCCAAACAAAATGCTGGCTGCATACATGCCATGTGTGCATAATAATAGTAATCTAGAGATTGGGATCTTGGGCTTCTCTGTTTGCTCGCAACTACAGCATGTAGTATTCTCAAGACAGAATAAATTTATGCATTATCATAGTTACATTGTAAAGGCCGCAACCAGTAAATGTACAGTGTACTGTATAATATTGTTACAAAGTATAAATTGTAGAGTTCTCTAATTATATCGATACTTCATCCTAACTAGTCTCCTTTTGTAAAATCTCCCAAACCCTAACTCTGATATGAAAGGCTGTTGATTAGAAGAATTTCCTCCTTTAATTTATGATTTTTTTAATTAGCTTACCTCAGACTTAAAAACTTTTAGGTCTAGTAAAGATTCTAACCTTGACCTCTTTGATGAGAAGACCAAATGCTTTCTCCAGTTAACCCTATCACCAACTAAAATTAATATCAAAATAATTCTGCCCTGTGTAGGAATAATGTGAGTGACATAGCACAGGTGGAGTTCTTGTGCCTGTGTTCATCACTGAATATGCTGACATTAGAGGGTAATCCAATTTGTTTAGCTCCACACCCAGAGGCTTCACAGGAGGTGAGCTTATTTTCTCAGCGCACTGTGGAAAGAGTATATGTTGTAATTAATTTTATATCTCAGGTGATTTTTATTTTTCCTTTGTTTCAACTTAATTAGCATACATTACCAAACCCAAAAACAAAGGAAAAATAATAATTAACTGAGATAAAAAATTAACTACAACATATATATTGATAAGCTGTGCCTAAAAAAATTTCACAAGTCCAAGGGTCATAGTCAACATTCTCCACTGAAATGATTCAGAGATGTACGGTTATACCAGTAACTTGTGCGCGCTGGATTTGGAAACCCGTGTGTAGCTCTGGAAAATTCCTAGCCATGCACTGCCCTAAGATGATTTTTTTTATTGTGTATGTGGGGCTGTAGTTAAGTTTGAAGCAGCCATAGTGAATGACTGTTCACCCATAACATCTCACAAAAAATTGATGGTGTCATGCATCTTTAGCTGTCCACTTTGATCACCCATGACATAAAGTGAGCTCAGCTGTAACAGCTGTTTTAGGTTACGGCACTTTTTGACAGATTTTAGTATGTATGTCATACAAAGTTCATAGTAGACTCATGACCTATCTCCTATTCACTAAAAACTCTTATAAGATCAGTGAAGCTACATCACACTGTGAAAAAAGTATAAGTAAGATAAAAGTTAATAGGAATCCTTTAGTGGCTCTCTTTTGCTTGACCCTTAATTTAAGCCCCAAGATCCACATACAAATTCTCCAGACAGATCTCCATACAGTTGTTTTAAGAATGGCTGAGAGAATTTGGTTTAAGATCAAAGCATTCTCCCTTTGGTAATCAATTTAGTAATTCCCATATCCTTTACTCTTGATGATCTGCTGATGTTGTCAGGAGAAAATTGATGTTGGTCACTCTTGGGACCTAAAGGGTTAATGGCCTGTTTCCACTTTGCAGGAAATAAGACAGTATCATTATCGTGCTGCAATCCATAAGGCTGTTCCAAATGTTAGAATACTGGATGATGAAGCCTTTTTGGTGGAAAAAGTAGGTGGCCAGTTGGTGATTCGAGATCCCCCGGAATCACATAGAGCTAAGAAGGTGCCAGATCATCTCAGGACTGACTGGCAACTTGTCAGTGAAGGAATCAAGGCAATTAACATTGATGAACAGGAAGACAGTGCATGTAGGTGTCTTTTTGGACAGTATTTATGCCATAGTGTGCCCAGTTGCCTGGGACATTAAAATTATTATACGTGTTTTGGCCAAGTTACTACCACTTCACAGGACATACCGTAAAATTCTGAAAATAAGCCCCGGGGCTTATATTTTTCAAAGGCCCTTTTTGAGGGGCTTATTTTTGGAGGGGCTTATATTCGGAGGGGCTTATTTACGGAGGGAAATTTGTGTTTCAAAATCGATTGGGCTAGCCTTATATTTGGAAGTAAATTTACCATTTTTGCTTTGTTTTACTTTGTATTTGTGGGCAATTTTCCAAGTACAAGCCCCTGGGGGGCTTATATTTGGAGGGGCAATTTAGCGGAGGATTTTTTGTGTTATCCGTTAGGGGGGCTTATATTTGGAGGGGCTTATACGTGGAGGGGCTTATTTCCAGAATTTTTCGGTATTTTGTAATGCTGTTTTGACCTCCTGTTTGCTGATTAGCCATACACTCTACAACCCAATATTTTGGATAGTTACAAATAATTATTTCTTTGTTCAGTTTTAGTGAATTAAACCACATTTCAAGCAATATCAAAAAATGTTTGCGTTCCTTTTTTAATCTTTCTGATTAGTTCTATGATCATGGGTTTATTTCTACATTTTTAACCTTTGAAAAAAATTTGTCTTCAATTCTCTCTTTGACTATTTATTTAAACTGGTTGTGCTTGAACAGTTGATATAGTGAGACCAGGCTCAGCTTCCTCTGTATCAAGACAAGAAAGACCTTCCAGTGCCATGTCAAAAAGACAACGACCTGTAACAGCATCAGGGAAAAGACCTTCAAGTGCTAGGGGACAACGTCCTGGCTCTGCTGGAGGTAGGTGTCATTCTACAACTTTTGCTCTCAACCATTTAATTCCTATAATCAATAATCATGATACCCAGATTATTATGTTTATTATGTTAAAGGTATAACTAATGAATTTAACATGTCCCTGTCTTTTACAGTCCTTTACAAAGGTGTTAATCAATTTTCAGTATTTCAGAAAATAAAATTAGTGATTGATAAAACAGATTAACATTTTATTCTGGTTAAAAAAGGGTTTGCAGGGTCGCTATTCATGACTTTGGGAGTGGTGAGACTTCAGTGGCTTTCCACAATGACTTGGTGTTATGTATACAGTGTGATGAACTGTTGTTTTTGTTAGGGTTTTTTGTCCAGGAGTCCATTTAAACTGACTCCTGGGTGGAGAAAGACAATGACGTGCACAGTGTCTTTTTTAAGGCAGCATTGAAAATAATAATAATAGAAAACATATCCTATTGTGAAACATACGTTGGTACATTTACTTATAAATCTTTGATTCCTTCAGTAAACCTATTTTCCTGTTTTCTTGTAGTTATAAGGTTATTTATCTTTTAATGTTGTACCTCAGGGAACCCTGAACCTGTTGGACCTGGAGTTTTTCAACAAGATGACAGTAGTGATCTCACTCATGGTAAGCTTCATTTTATGATCTAGTTCCTTACAAAGTTTTGAGTTGTTTTAGAGTACAGCTGTTTATTTACAGTTCCTTGATATCTTCTTGCTTTTATCAGGTTCCAGCCAAGTCATCTGTGGGAATATATCAAGAGCTTTGAAGTCAAGGCAGAAGGTTTGGTCAAATTCTTATTTCTGAACAAATTCATCTCCCAGTGTTCTCTATTTGGATTTTCTACTTGCTCCTCTTTGAAGCATTACACTAGCATCTGGCACTTTATTTCCACATTTCGTTAGGTTCAGTCTGGTCTTCCTGACTGGGAATTAATTTTTGCTTTCTTTAGCAAATGCACTTTCTTTTATTTGAGCAAAAATACAGACAAGGCATCATCTAAAAATGAATCACTGTTGTCATTGTAAGGAAGTACAATAATTATTCAAAGCTATATTGTATCGTGATCTTGTGTGGTTAGATAGCATTTTTCCCCATATCCAAAGTCACCTTCTTTTCCAGTGATGCAACTAGCCCCAAACATAAAAACCCATGTTTGTGAAAGTATATAATTTATTATTTTGATAGTGGAGTTGAATTTTGCGGATTTGCTTTTTACAGTAGGAATTTTTTTTGGCGCTTAACTATTTTGCATACATTAAAAAAATAAAAATGGAAAAAAAAACTAGGACCCCAAAAAACGAACTTCATCATGACTTCTGTAACTTTATTATTATTTCATGGAAACTGTGTTTGTTTCTAAGCTACTAGCATCCCATGGAGAGGGGATTGTGAGAATACTCTCATATTGCTCCACCTCCGTTGTTTAGGACACAAAGGGTCAAAAACCATACTGGCACATCTTCGTACAGGCCAATTCAGGACCATAGCAAGCCTTTCGAAACTTGGGGGCACAGAAATTTTAGTTAGCTCATTGTATTTGAAAAGCAGAGGGTTTTCAGTCCAGAGGTCCCATTAGACTGGTCTCTACTGTCTTAAAACCAGAAAATGTTTCACCTAACTGTAGAGACATCATTGTTCAATACTCTTGGAGATGAATTAGTATTTTCAACTTTTATGCGTGCATGTTTTGACTTTTTAGGGGCAAAAAACTGGGGGGGGTGCACACCCCCTAGCCCCTCCCCTTGCTACGGCCCTGACCATACAAGGGAGTACACCCTGGGGGCTACATCAACCTCACATGTAGTTCTGAACTATAGTATCAGCAAGCATAATCCTAGCACTGTCGTCCATACGTCTCTTATGGGGCTTAATTGACCTTAATTAGAAGAATTTGTTGAAAAATTAAGACCGAAGTTGGTGATTTTTTTTTCTCATGATCATTTTGTTGTATACATCAGTAGTAATCAAAAGGATAAATTAGATCAGTTCTTGTCCCTATTATCGCTGTAGTGTTAAACTCTAGTGGTTGAAAATCTTGAATCATTAGGGACTTTAAGTTGCCACGACGGCGACGACAACGAGAACGTCAAAGAAGCAATAGGTTGAATAGGCAAAACAACACCTCTGCACGTGATCACGCTTTTTTGTACATTTCTTTGCCGTCACTGCACGACTACGACGGGAAAATGCCTATTTTCACGTTTTATGGACGTAAACAAGCGACGGCTAAATTTTCTATTTCTGAACTTGAATATGGTTCTTAGGAATTTGGCTCAAAGAGAGTTCGCTTGCATTGAAAAAAATAAATGACTTAGGTGAGTAATCGCGATAGAGATTGAAAGAGCGCAAATTCACTTTGCAAGCGACGTTTTCGTGGCTGTCTTCGTCGTGGTATCTTAAACTCCCTATTATGGGCTGTTCTGTGACCGTGTCTCTTGTTCTTAGGCTTTAAAACAACCTAAGATGCCAGTGGTGACTTTCCGCCTTGAGAGTCCCCGTTTGTTTATACCTGAAAAAAGCTTCGAGGAAGAAACAGAAACATCAGCTAGTGCCAGTGATATTCTCGAAGAACTGAAAGCTTGGAGAAAGGAATATTCAAAGTAAGGTTTAACTTAGGGCATGTTTACATGGAGATAGGGGACCCCAGATAGGTGAGCTAACATGGGGCGGGTCACTCCACTTATGTTAACGTGGTCAAATTAAAATGAGAGATTATATGGACAGGCGGGTTACCCCACCTAAGCGGGTTACCTCACCTACCTGGGGTCCCCCACCTTCATGTAAACAGGCCCTTAAAGGAACGCAACTCCTCAGTATTCCTCCTTGATATCTCTTCTCCGCTCAGGCTCCTGCTCGGTATTGCAGTAAAATTAGAAATAAGTAAAAACCAATAGGGTTTACGGTCATCTCGCCACCAACGAAATCGCCACCAAGAAGTCTACTCGCCACCATATAATAACTCTGCAATAATCGACATTGTTTACTTACCTGGGATTGTTACTTCTCCCTCAAGCCTAAATATAAGTTTATCGATTTTAATTGACACCTTGCGTCATACTTCTCATTTTAAGTTTTATTTTTTGTGAATATTTTTAGACGAAACTGAGCCCCAAAGGGCGGGAAAAAATGTTTTGGGAGACCGAGCCCCCGCCTTATCTCATGGGTCTGGATGACCGCCCCGTCCCACTACCCTGAAGGTCTGGATCACCGACTGTTACTCCCCCATTACGATACTTTATATTTTCCGTTAATTTGCTTATTATAATTTCAGGATATTAAGTAATGAAAGGAGTACAACAACTAATACTGATGAGAATGGTGACAAATCCAGGTAAGGTGATTTTGTTGTTGTTGCTTGTTTCTATTTCACACTAGGTGACTGAAATTGCAAAAAGGGTGCACTTCAGTTCAACTGAATAAGACGCCCTCTTCTCTTCAGATGACGGCAACCAGAAAAATGAAAAAAAGCAAGTATGGTCAAGCTACTTAATAAAGAGATTTAGAGTGACGCATAGGGCAAACTACAAACGTGAGATTCACGTTTTGAATTTCTCAATATAGAAAATGATCAAACAAAAACATCCCAAAACTATCATTATGGATAAAACTGGTGTGAATCTACTGATTTTCATGTAGTTACAATGAACAGTAAACGACAAACAATGGGAAAACTTGGTCAAGTGGTACAAGTTTGCAGTAAACGTAACTCTATATCTCTCTAATATTTTGGAATTTCTTTAGAACTGTTATTACCTAGATACCTCTGATAATAGTTGAGTTATTATATATCTGGATAACCTTGAGAAAAGAAAATGTTCTTGCCCATGAACGGAATGTACCTGAACCTTCTATGACGTGCAGGTGACGTACGCGCATTACAGTTTGTGTATAAACAGTTTTAGGGCCTGTTTACATGTAGGTGGGGGACCCAAGGTAAGTGAGGTGACCCGCCTGTTCATATAATCTCTCATGTGGTCACCCCACCTATCATGTAAACGTGATTTAATTAAAATGAGAGCCGATTATATGGAGAGACTGGTTACCCTACCTAAGCGCCGGGGTTACCTCACCTCCATGTAAACAGGTCCTTAGTGACTTTATTAGGGTGTATACTGGGTAAAACCTGTGTAAAACCTTAAACTGAACATCCTCTTGCAGTGAATTACCACCATCCACCCCCGAACAAGATACGGGAGCCCCGCGACTTTCACCCACGCCACCCGCCTACTCACCGTCCCCTCCTTCGAAAACCTCTCGTCGTCCAGGAAGTCCTTCAGCAGTGCGTCGCTCACTCCCTACCCCTCCACTAGTGGGTAGAGAGGTAATGACCAGACCCAATACCGCTGCGGACTTTAGGATGCGAAGGTTAGTAGTTACATGTGCGTCGCAGTGTTGTGTTTTTTTTCTCCATTTTTCAAACAGACAGAGACTCTATGTAATCCTTTTATAAATGGAACAAGCTACAGTAATCCATTAATTCTCTAGAATGTCTTATCTTTATTCTGAGACGTTTTATTTGTTTGTTTTGAGTAGACAAATTTTCTGGAGAACCCTGAATTAACCTTCAAGTACAATAAACATGTTAACAGGAATATTTGTGTTATAGATTCCGTCAACTTTCTGGCGAGACCAGTGTGAATCAGTTAAAGCTTCGAGCTATGCGTGCAGATGAGAGTTATGACGTAGACAAAAATACGTCCACGCCTTGTCTGGATTCCAGACCTTCTCCCGCTTTATCGGTCGAAGAGGACTCGGAACCTCGCTCTTCCTCCGCGCCCGTGCGACTAGGCCGACAAACGAGGTCAGTTGAAGTAGATAAAACATATTAGTGAAATCCAACTAGTGGTCTATTATCAATGCTGCGTTCCCATTGGTTGAGCAACTACTAGGCTATATGTTATAGCCCACTAGTAGCGAAAAGCGCGGGCTTTTTGGTGGCAAAAAAGGATTAAAGTCTAGCTTTAACTAGGTAAATTTTTTCATTCTCGATATTTTGGACCAACTAGTTGGATTTTGCTAAAACAATTATTCCTCTCGCCCTCATGGCCTTTTGTTAACTATTCGTCAAACCAGCATCTCCTTTATTTCTGGGATTGTCAACTTGCAGTTTTGACATTTCTCTCTGAAATGTTTTTTCTAGTATTTTTATGTGTTTGTTAGCTCTTTCTTTTTGGGTGAGCCAGTCTTAGTTTCTTTTTTAATTGTAGCTGTATTATTTTTTGGTACCTGGATTTTGGAATCAAAAACAAACTTGATTTGACATGACTATATCCTCGTTGATATTAGCCTTCGTGGAAGGCGTCAAAAGGGGAGTGAGAATTAAAAAACATTTCCATATCAAAGGCTGAGCACTTAACCTCGTTTTGGTACTGAGGCCCGGAGGAACTCGGAAATGGCGTATTTTTGAACAGTTTAGTAATCGTTGCTTTACAGGGAAACGCCCACAAAAGATGGCACCAGGCCCCCTCGCAAACTCCCCGACCCAGCGTTACTGGCACAGAGACCAGGTACAGCAGCCGCTGCCCTACAAAAAAGAAAACTGAGGCCGTAGACTTGACATCCGAGATACATGTACATAGACACATGTAGAGCCTACGTGACGCTGTTGCCTACTATGTTTTTGGTGCGCAGAGTGATGCTCTCGGCCTGTCATTAAGGTTTGCGTAGTAGCTCGATTTGGTGGTATTTAATAAGAGTGACTGCAAAATGGAGGAATGTTAAAATCTGCTGGTTGAATGTGTATAAATACAAGTTTTCTGTGCACGTGTTATGTAAAGTGTAAATAAAACTCTATTTATAACTTTATGTATGGAATTTTGTACTGTGGAATTTGTCTTCAGCGACCCTGTTTGTAAATGAGGAAATCCAACGACCTCGACTGATAATAGTTAACAGACGTTTTTCAAAGCAGCAACGAGTTAAGAATTTTGGAAACCTCCGGGTAAGTTTGAAATCTTTGAAATACTTCGGATCATCTTCGAGATTCTTCGGTTCAACTTTAGACGTTTATGGAAAGATTTTATTTAGAGTACGGTGTTAAAAATGGCAAACGCTGGGCCTTGCCAGGTCATAAGGTAAACACCCTGCCCGTCCTTCTTGTTGGGAAATGTAGTAGGTTTTTATCATCAACATGCTATAGCTGTCCTCTTAGATAAAGGTATTTGTCGTTTCCGGTTAAGATATATCAGAAATATGATGATAGATTTTCTAGCACGAGAACGTCTTATCTATATATCGTCATAGAAAAATACAATCTCCAGGCACTGGGCAATTAAAATGGTATTGGAAAATAGAAGAGCTGAAATAATACGCTTAGACTTTATATGAGGTCTATATTCATACTTGTACACAGCACCACTTTGAAGACAAAAAAACAACTACAACAGTTCTTTCACACAAGACTCTATGTTAGCTCTGAACAGGGAAGACAGTGGTAGCGGGACCGAAATTAACCTCATCTTCCTCATTATCTCAATTGTTGTATCGCTAAATCCAGTATCCAATTCCCAATACTGAATAATCTGGCTTCAAACTGTAAATAGAACGCCAACTTGAAAGCCACAGAGGATTAGCTATATCGTAATGTGTACCAAGTGCCTCATGATAAGGAGACTCGTTATCTTCTCCAGAAATTTGCACGAAAATCTAAAAAGCAGAAGGAAGTTGGAAGTTCTCAACTTGACGGAAAGGAGATAAACGATTCTTCGCCTTTCGAGAGTCTTAACCAGGAATGCGATTGACGTCACCAAAAAGGAAAAGGGAAAAATCAAAGCTTGTTTGATGGCATGGCAAGTTGTTGCCTAATTGCTCTTCTTGTACCATTATACGTGGCCCTGCCATATGCGTAAATGATTGTTCCTACATAACTAATTAATTTTTGAGCATTAGTCGGTTTGTAAAAGTATCCGTGAACTTAAGAAAAAAATCAACCTTCACCAATAAAGTATAAGGCCAAGATTCAGTAACAAGTTAGTTTTACCTCCCGAATGGTATACCAAGTTTTGCTCTTGAAACAAATGCCATATTTGGGGGAAGACCTTAGATAACAATAGAGACCTTAAGATACACCGTTTCCGTGTGCGGGTACGGATAAATTAGCCGTACACGTAGCCGTAAATACGGGTAAATTGCCTCTTACCCGGGGGAAACGGGCGGGTTACCAGGTAGAATGGTTACGGCATTATGACATCTGATAAATAATGGTTGCCTTTTATAGAACTACGAGGTAAACATGTTCGCTTACCCGTACCCGTAGGCTGAAACGGCGTATCTTAAGGTCACTAATGACCTCAACCCGGTTGGCGTCCAGCGGTTTTGAAGGGTTTGGGTGTGGTGCTTAGTCTCACAGGCTCATACAACCTGGTCGGTACCCAACAAGAAATCGACACCCTACCAAGTATTTGACCCTTTCTAGGGTGGTGTCTGTGGAGTTCCATAGCGACACAACCAAGAGAGGGATAAAGGCCAAAACTTATTTATTTTGGTCAAAAAAGGTTAAATTGTTTTTCTTCTTCTTTTTTTCTCTTTTTCCAGCCCACTTCCTAGCCGTCATAGTCAAAGGCACCTTTCAACGGTTTTATACCGTTCCCCGCGCGATCTCCACTAAATGGGGCACTAAATGTAGACCAATATGCCAAAAGTCGTATCGGCGAACGCTTTTTTTGGTGGGAAATTGCATGATCAGCTACGTGTTTGAAAAATTAAACTGAAGACAACAGCAAACAATCCTTTGGGTTTTGTGGGTATTTTTTTTAGCTCAATTCCTGTTAAATTACCTCGTAATGTCAACGAAAATGGGCGGAATTATGAGGAAAAGAGCGTGAGGGAAAACGAGAGTGCAGGCGACGGGCTGCAAAGGAACAAAGAGAAGGCGGGAGAGAGGAAAGACGGACTACGCTTAAAACGAGGATCAGAGAGAGCATGTTTAAGTTTATAGACGAGAAGATAAAGGAAGGCTACCTTGGAACAACGGGGGAAAGAGAGAGCACAAAATGTTGTAGGTCCAACAGTAATAGTAAGTCATGTTGCATCGCTGACCTTAAGTACAACAAAGCTTTACTTCTCCTTGAAGTCTCCTTGACACTCCTTCCCATTGACGGCTCCGTTTCAGCTAGAGGACTCAGCATCTGTGAGGAGTCTCTGAGCGTTTTTAATAACTCTTCTCGTCGACCCGTATGTTTTGTTTCGAGTTATAAGTGACCAGTTTAAGAGTTAATAAGACAGGCTTCTAACACCTTGGCCCCGTAAAACGAACTAGCCACAAAAAAGACGCTTTAAACAAGTAAGTCGGATGATAGGTTTATCATCGGGGATCATCGGCTAGAAATAAAGAAGGTCATGCGAGGCACACTTCTTGTGTCCCTTCAGTGTCAGTAAGCTTATTAACTTAGCAAGCCACAGTTCAGAAAGCTAAATAAATAGGTTAAAAATAATTTCAAGAGGAGTTTGTCTTAGACTGACGGATGACACCTTTCTCAAGCGCATTTCACTGAAGGACGAGTTGAGTGGTTTGAGGAGTCTGTCGTAACTCGTAATTGGGAATGATTTAATCCTTTTGTTTTTTATCACACGATAAAATTTGAACTGTTGTGTTTCACTAAACAAACCTTCATTGATGGTTTCGTTTCGTTACTTTAGTGCGAGGGAGATTTTTTTTTTACCTATAAGTGCATGTCAGTTCATTTTCAAAATCAACTCTCCAAGACGAAGGTGTCCTCTTCAATAAGATGAGTTGTAACTCGCTGAAGCCTGATGCTTGAACCGTGTTTGTCAAGTTACTTAATTTAATTGTGTTTTCAAGACCAACGAACCGTTCCCCAGTTAGCTTGATAGCAGCTAGGGCTCTAAGCAACTTCAAAAAGGGCAAAAAATATATAAGATATATATAAAATAGAAAACAATCGCGTGAAAAAACTAAACCTCAGTACATACTCTAATGATTAGCCATCGCCACAAATTTCTCATTTCTCAGGCTACTTTACGTGATTATTCACGAAATTGGGAGTCACACTGAGGCCTTTTCCGTTGACAAATTTACCCCGCCTTGCCCACGCCCATTCGATCCGCCCTCCACCGTTTATTTCCCTCCCTAATCCTGCCCACGCAGATTCAAATGTATGATTGGTTTACTTATGATCACAAGATCCCTAGCTTAACCTGATTGCAAGGGTTTTCGCCAGATGAGAAGTTTTTTTAAAATAATGACACAAACACTTTCGGAGAGGTGAAAAATAATGCTTGTCTGTTATGTATTTTTGTATATCATCATTTAATTGCCATGTCGTGCTGTATCCATGTATATTTTAAAGGGGTGAAAACTGAAATCAGTGTTTCGCAAAAAATCAAGCGCAAACAAATAGTCATCACTATGCCCAGTGACGACCTTACCTTTCGTTTTGCCAAAATAATCTTGTATGAATGAAAAATGTACTTTCCATGGCTGCTAATGTTATCGGAAACACATAATTTAATAATAATTACATGTATGCTGACTACATTTTCCACTGCGTCATGTTGCTGAGTATTTATTCAGCCCCTTAAGGCTGCGTGTAATTAACTTCCAGCTTTGGTTGTTTTTACGCTACTGATCTTTAAATTCAAGTCACGGTTATCCTACTGAGCTTCAATTAAAGATAATTCTATGTAACTTAACATTTTTGTGGTATACCGGTGCCTGTGTCATACGGTATGTTGAGCGAATTGAAGACCGACTTAGTGGGATTTGGAATGGTACCGCAATAACTATTCAAATTCAATAATTCAGATTTGAAGGCAAAGGTAGAAATATAAATTTCCCCCTCTTTAGAATAATTTTGAAGACGAGAGATTTGGCCCTAGAAAATTATGCAAAATACAAATCACAGTTGCCACTTTTTTGACTCTCAACTTCATATTAGATTCATACATATTTTAATAACCTCAAAACCACATGCTATCTATTGCATCCAATATAATCAAAATACAAGATAAATCGGCAGATTGTTGAGATTTTTAAAAAGACATAGCAAAAAACACTACTGATTCTTTACCTTTTTCCTCTTGAAAGCTCCAGGAAACAACGCATGCGCCTTTCAGGTGCTTGTTAAACTGAGGGAAAAAGAACTATTTCGATATAGTTGGTGTAATTTTCTTATCCACGGACATGTAATACAACGTTACAGTAACTAAGGCCATCTATGTGACTGGTTTTGTGAGAAAATTGTTAAACATAGGTCTATGAGATAAACATTCTTGTCTACCTCTAAAGAAATGTTTTGTCTACCGTTTGGCTCTCGAAGAATCCTTTTCGTCTCAGAAGCTGTTTAAAGCTGCACTAGTAAATAGCTTTTTGACATTGACATATTATTATTAGAATTCCAAAGCTCTCAAGGTCAACTGAAGATAGGGATTGGATCGATAACAAAATACGGGGCGTAATGCGGAATTAGCTCTCGGCTTATCCCTACGCTACCGTGGCTTAATTATACTTTCCAAGCAGTTTCGGCTGTTAAAGAAGCCCCCATCAAAGTGAATGCACATTAAAAACGGCGCAATTATCAGGCAGATGAAAAGAAAATGCTGTCTCCACTCAAGTATTGTAAACAAAACCCCGTCTCACAATACAAAAATAAAGAGCATTGTTCAAAATCTGCAGGAGATGCGTTTTTAATGTCTGAAATATTATTTCGCTTATCTCCCGTTACTTCAGGATCCCGTTAGAAGGCGAGCCTACATTGAAAATTTAAAGAGTGGGCTGTTTGTCAATGGACGCGATGTGCTCTTTCCTCTCGGTCATAACTGATCGCATGTCTGGAAAAGCCATCATATTATGGATGAAAGCCTTTGATATTTAAGGAATGTATTATAGTTAATTGTTTTATGTCAAAAAAATTAGACATAAACACGGAATAGGAACCGAGACAGATCGATTTGATGTTTCCTGCCGGGGAGTCGAGTCCCATTACCTCTCTCTCACTCAGTATCTGATGGGAAAAAAACTATCGCATGTGTAATTCTCATTCTTCAGGTCCACACTCCGTGACGATTTAATCCCTCTGCGATGTTGGCCGTAGAATTGAAGATGTTTTTTAATTTCTCTAAAACAATATCGTTTAAAACAATCCCGCGAGAACAATATCCCATGAAATCACAACGCAACTGACTTGGCGCGAGTGTCAAATTTTAGTAGTTTCCTGAACCCTTGTTGGCTGTCGCACGGTTTCAAACCACTCATCTCGTTCAAAATGCATTTCTAAACCACGCAATCTTTTCCTTCATTGTAATTTCAAATTGAGGTTTTTAATAGGTGAACTCTTCGTGAGTGGGTTGGTTTTCTGTGAACCCACGGAAATTTTTTGATCTCTCCCAGTTTTGTTCTGACAGGTGGTGGAAGGTGCTAAGCGCGCGCTGCATCTTGGGATATTCGCTGCAAGTTTGCCTCATGAGCTGTGTGTATCTTGTTCTTTTGCGATTGTCAAGCGAATTATCGTCTAAAATTGCGTGAAAAACCGTTTACAACTCTTTTCAGGATATTAAACGTGCAAACAGTAAACGAAGGATCGTCCATATCCCGCAATATGGTGGAAGAATGCACGGATGACAGATTCCATCGGCTGTTTTTGCGCTAGAGGAAGTGTGAACCGGTAACCTAGCGGACATGTAATTGGACGTGAAATCCCTGATTCCCGTCATCTGGTTTTGTTTGGGACTCGGCATTTCGTTCCATCGCCAAAATGATGTGCGATATAATGCCTACGATCTCTGAGGACCCGCCAGAGATTAATTATGGGCAAAATGAAGAGACGAACTTCGAACAACTCATGGTTAATATGCTCGATGAACGGGACAAGCTTATGGAAACACTTCGTGAAACCCAAGATTCGCTTGCTCTCACGAGAGCCAAATTAACGGAATGTCAAAAAGAAAAAGATGGGCTTATGAATCACTTGGAAACTGTGCTAAATAATGTAAGAATCTTTTAAGCTGTATTTTTAATATATATTTTTTCTCCTTAATCTGAGGCCTGACCATTCATTCTTTGGCTTACTCAAATACGCCATGTTTGATCTGCAATTGAATGTCATTTCACCGACCAAGTGTTTACATATCCACAGAACACGGGTTTTACTGTACACGAAGAACAGTCTCTGCAGTATTTCAACAAGAAGCTATATCGATTAACTACATTCTCGTTTATTTTCAAGTAAAGTCGCATGGTAAAAATTCCATAATACGTCAAGAATCTTTAAACTGTCGCTCAAGATTCCAAGCTGCATTCCTGTACATGTTGTCCAAAAATCTTTCGTAGTTTACAGTCTCAAGCATTATTTTCAACCGAGTAAGATGATAATTTGAGTTTGCGGCTTGGGAACTTCTAATTTGCCGATGTGTTTGTGTTATTTCACCAAAGATCATGCATATTTATGCCTCTCCAATCCAATTCGTTTTGTCACTGCTGATGGAGACTATCTCCTTCATTAATCTCACACGTGTTTATAGAAATTTCTGATTTCATTCGGTGGTATTTCTTTTATTTTTAGGGTGATGATCAACTTATTGAAAGACTGGCTGGTTTGGATGGAATTATCAGCGATGCGGGGAATGATCTAAAACAAGATTCTGATAAAAACAGAGTTCGTGTTTTGGCTGAGGTGTGTGGAGAATTCTGTCATTTTTTTAGCCGCTTGTTTTAATAACACCACGAAAATGCAAAGGAATTAGTTTAATTAGCAGTTCCTTGGTTTTCTGTGGAATAATTCACCCCAGAGAATGAATTTTCACCCTAGAGTTTTGCTGTTGCTTCCAAGGTGTTTGTAAACAATACTGGTGGGAATCTATTGTGAATGCTGTGATCTTAATTTAAAAATTTTACACAGATTAAACGGAATTAAAATTGTTTTCAGCTATATAGGTTGTTTTCCACTAGCCTTCAGGCGTAAAAATCAAAATAGAGAATAAAGTTTTTAGACTATGGGATTTAACAAGTGCAAAGCTCGAATATTGAGTAATATTCTTCATGTTTGACCTTTTTTAATCGAAAAGTACAGTGAAATCTTTTTTTGCACGACTGAATTCCACTATGAGTATGATGACGCTTTCATCAACTGTTAGCAAAGTACAGGTCGAGTTTCAGACCACCAAACTGTGATGATTGTAAAGAATGTTTAGTTTTTTGTGGGTAGAACAATTGTGTCATTACAGTCTGCATTTAATCATGTGTCCAGTATCATCGATCACGTTAGCGAAAATCACGATCGTGCCTTTTATTTTCGAACATTTCTCCCAGCTTGAGGAAAACATGGTGCTGGAGATGTAGTTTGTCTCTTTGCATAGCTATTGAAGTGCCCTTAGTGTGTAATTTCCGGTGAATACACTATGTGGTATTTTATATCGTACCACATAATTGCAGGTTCGATGCGAATACTTTTTTTTGTGTTCATGGTCTACTGAAACGATCAGTTGCAATTTGGCTTGGAATATTTAAGCGGTTGTGTGCTCAAAGATGGTACTATTTGCTTCTTGACACCTAGCCACGGAAGATTTTATTAAAAAGCCCTCACATTATCAAACAAGTCCATTTTACCACTTGACTTAACTGCATAAAGAGCTTTACCTTCGAATACTTTCTGTTTTTCTTTTCTCGCGTTGGAGAGGAAATTGCTTGCATACAAGTTGTGTTTCATTGTCATAAACGTCTCGCGAACTGAAGGAAAACCTTTTTGTACAGACAGTAGTATGTTTACTGAACTCTTTAAGTGTAATTTGCATGAGAATAATTTAGTGATCGGCTTTTGTTGAGTTAAAACATGTCGACCTATTCGTGAATGTTTCGCACCGTGATATCTGTCATCTGTCCCTCTGCAATCAGAACCTTGTTTTCTCTGTAATGTTGCACGGATATTGATATCTTGTTGATATCTCACGATTAGAGAATTCCGTTTTCGCTTGGTGCTGACGAGCAAGGCTCTCCGCTGGACAACTGGCAAGTTAATACGTTTCCCGGGTTGTGTGCGGCAAACAGAAATCGCTTGATATGTAAATATAAAATGACACAAGTTACGGTGTATGGTTTTGATAAGTTACTTGACACTACTTGTACACTTGGTACATTTATTAACTGACAAAACATCATGTGAAAGGTCTCGGTAATTCTGTGGTGAGAAAGTCGACAAAACTCACTTAAATAAAATAGCACAAAGTGAAAGCCTCTTATGCTAACAGACTACCCGTTAGTTCTAATTGTAGTGTTTATTAAGCTTGGGCAAATGTGTACGTCTTTTATTTTACTGCATGTACTTCTTTTTTATATAGATGTGGTGAGTTTTAATTTCATTTGATTCTTACTTGTTTGTGATAAGCTGGCCTTTGTGAGAAAACTATAGATTGTGCAAGGCGGTCAAATACCTGGATTTCTTTAGAATCAATCTCCTTTCATTTATAAAGTTGTAATTTTGGTCAGTTAATTAAGATTTAATTTCTGTTATGTTAATTAATTGTCAAAACTGGTTCATCTTGAGGATCATGTCTGTAAAAGGATTTTTGTTAAATTTATCCCATTTTGCATTGTCAATTAAACAAAATTGCGAGTGTACTTTGTTTATCTAAATTATGAATCTGTTCAAGCAAACAAAAATAATATTAATACTATCCTGTCTTGCTGATGGTCAAATTTTAGAAACATTTATGCAATCACAAATTTCATGATATCAAATAAGCTGTTTGATTGTTTTCAAATGAACTTTTATTTTGAATATCTATTCAGAAATTTATTTTGTGAAGCATAGATATATATTTTCTCACTGTTTTCTTTTCCTCATACAACTATGACAAATTCTGAAAATTGGAAACAGATTTTTATTCAAGTTTAGATGGAGTGTTTAAATTGCTTGTTAATCTCTACTTTCTAACATTTTTTATCACTGACCTGACTTTACTTATTAATCAAGGTACAATTACATTCAAGTGTGAAACAATTATTAATAATTCGTCAATCTGCATTACTAAAAGAATCATTTAGATACTCATTAGTTCAAAGTGTATGATATATAAGAATTTTTCAGCAGCAAAAAACGTGATTTACAGTCCACAAAGAAGTGCAATGTTCTGCTTTTTAACATTCATTGTTTTCTTAACTTAATACATGTACGTTATAGCAATATTTGGTTCAAAACAATGTGGTTATCGGTAATAATAATAATGTTATCAAAGTATGATATTGCCTTGGTTCAGTGCTGTTTTTACCAGAATGTTTTGCTACTTATCAACAACAATATTATTCTTTGATCATTTTGATTTGGTTATTCTTAGAGGTGCCACACTATATGATGTTTCAAAATTCTCTTCTGTATGCTGTGAATAAACCAAATGAATAAAATGTTTTGCTACAAAACACAGTCAACCTCCACTAATGTCCACCTCTCTACGGTGGCCACTTTTTTGGCAAACATCGTGAGTGTGAGTTTATTGTCTGGAGAAACAGTTCCGATACAGTCAATGACAGCGACCTCTCCTACAATGGCCACTTTTTTCTGTCCCCAGGGTGGCTGTGTGGGGAGGTTCAACTGTAGGTGCATATGCTTCTGTTGCCTTGCCTTTTTTGTTGGTGAATGGTTGTGTATCAAGATTTCACCAAATTTTATCGCACATTTGTCTTGTGGGAGGTAAACTCCTTATACTGGTAAATGTGTTTTCTTAGCAACATCTAGACAACATGATATTAACCTGAATTTCACATAACACTTAGGGAAGCTAATGTCACATTAACGCAGTTTTAAAACATTGTTCTTAGAATGTAGTCTTGAACTTTTAGAGACACAAACATGTTAGTTGATTGGCTGGAATGATGATTTTGTGTTTGTATTATACCATGATTAGCCAATAACAGACAGCAGTGACAGTGACTCTTACAGTTTATTCGTCCAAAGAGAACACTACTACACTACAACACCAAAATTGATTAATAATGTCAAGGTGAACCAGTCAGGTGCCATAAATTTTGCTGGAAGTGCTTTAGTTATGTTGCAGTTAATTTTTTTTCCCTTTGTTTTCATTAGCACACATTACCATATACCCAAAAGCAATAGAAAAATAGAACTTCACTTAAACAAAAAATTAACTACAACGGTTATATAGCCTGCTTGGCAGGTGCAAAAATCCGATAATGTCAACAGTCAGTACGTGACCAATCACAAGTAAAGGGCTTGTCAGCATGGTCCGAACTTAATTACTTTGTATACCGGAAATTGTCGAGTCAAGATGCTTTTTTCAAGTGATATCATAATCAAGCGAAATAAAACATTTTTACTCATCTGGCTTCCACAGCAAATACGACAAACACAGACTACGAGCAGTCTCTCTTTCTTTACTCCTTGCAGTCTACAACAAACAATGATCAGTTTCGTGTGAATACACAGGGCTGTCACTAAGTTTTTAAGTTGCCGGGTAAATACAACAAGTAGGTGGTGAATCAAACAGCCAGGGATTTCTTTGGCCTTACTTCATCAAAAACAACATTTGTGACCAAGAACTGAACAATTGCCAGCCTGAGACGCAAATAATGAAAGGAGAATTATAAACATTTTTGAAAAGCTCAATGGATAATTTTTACCAAAGCTTCAGCTCTCTCTTTATAAACCATTTAGGAGTTCATTCAAGACGGTATATGTTTTTGCAGAAAAGGCAGTCTTGTGAATATCGGCATTGCAAATGTCTGGCAAGAATTGCAATCACCTTGAATTGCAACTCAGTGTTTGGACAAATCCAGTATTCAAAACCTCCTGGGCATCTCTGCCTGCCAAACAAGCTGTTACAGTTGGCTCTAGTTCGAGTTTTAATGTGAAGTTGCTACAAGTGATTAGAGTAATTTTGATCTTCCAAAGCTTATGCCACATTTCCTTGATGCCTGCATCATGTTTGTCTCTCACTAATGCACACCAGGATATACCCCAATAAGTTACTCATTACGGCTCAGCCAATCAGTAATTTGCGGGCACCAGTGTCCACAGAAATGAGCAAAAGGAGGTTGTTATAGCAGGTATCCCTTACCCTCTCTCCCCAATCCCCCTCCCTTTTCCCCTTCCTCCCTATCCCTTACCCCTTTCGACTGCTACGCAGGCTATGGTTACACATAGTACTCAACTTCAAATAAGCACATCCCTCAGAGTGAAAAATATTAAATAGGTGCCCCCTTGGCCCACTACCACATCCCTCCTCTTTGAATATATCACAATACAGTATGCGCACATGTTTTCAATGAATATAGTATAATATATACACGCACTAGGATGACCCATTTAAGGACATCACAGTTGAAGACACAGGTGCCATAGGACAGCAACAGGGCGTAGTGAGAGTCAAGTATATGTGTTGCACTCACACAAATTTGGGTTGTAAAAGAAAGAAATATCCAGTTTACTTCTTTATTGGGGCCAAATTCCAAAGAATAAAATAAGTGCCCTATGGAAATAGGGCCTCCCGATCTCTCAACCCAGAAGATGAAATTAGTGCTATAGTTGGTACTATTTTTAAGCGTTTTTTGTAACCTCGTCAGCATTCTATTTTCTTGTAGGATTTTGCAACAATGGTGAAGGAACTTAACCAAGCCAGAGAGCAACTCCTAGAAAAAGATGAAGAAATTAGTGAACTGAAGTCGGAGAGGTGTAATACAAGAGTGAGTACTAGTGTAGGCATAATGGTGGGCTTTAAGGTCATTAGGGTTTCAGCTGTAAGCCACTGTTACAGATCATACGAGAATTGTGCGAAAGGTTTTTTTGCTTATGCCATTTATCTTTGTTTGTTACAGCTTCTTCTTGAGCATTTAGAGTGTTTAGTAGCACGGCATGAAAGGTCATTAAGGATGACAGTTGTCAAACGACAGGCAGCCACAACAGGTGGTGTATCATCTGAAGTAGAAGTTCTGAAGGCTCTAAAGTCACTTTTTGAACACCACAAAGCTCTGGATGAAAAGGTATTAAAAATGTACTTAAAATCAGGTTTGTAGCCTTCACTTTAGGGTATATTTTATAAATTGAACGAGTGTAACAGACTCAGTAATGTCCCAAAATTTTAGCTCGACATAATCTTGGAATAAATGTGTGCCTATGCGCTAATTCTTTCAATGCAACCATACCTTCATGATTTGTCGCTCTCAGTTACAAGTACAGATGACAGTTTAAGCAAACAATAAAATTATATTGTCACTATTGCTGCCTTTTGTGTGTCAAAGATTGAAAAATTGACAGGAAATTAACTAGAAAATGATTTTAATCTAAGACATACTGCAGTGTATCTAACAGGAAGTGTTCTCTTTTTTTGTTTTAGGTGCGTGAGAGACTCAGGCAGGCTATAGAAAAGGGTAATGCACTAGAAGGAGAGCTAGAAGAAACAAGGGAAAAGGTGAGGACTTGTCAGTATTTTATTCTTTATTTGCAACTTCTTTTATCACTAAATAATGATGTTTGCATTGTTTTTGTTTCTGCAGCTCAGAGAGCTTGAACAGGAGAATGAAGATATAAGACTTCGGAATCTCAGAAGAGTTAGAACCGAAGAAAAACTCCACACTTCAAGTGAAAACTGTGTAGAAAATGGTGATGAAGGTTCTGATAGGGTGAAGGTTAGCTTTTCATGACTCTTACAGGGTTTTTATTAAGAATTCTAGTTAGGTTGTAGCAGGAGAAAGGTGTAGTGTTACAGGAGAATATTTTGAAAGAGGCTCACCAGAGAATTCTCCAATCTGCAAGGCCTAATTAACACCCTGCTGTTGTACAGGTCATACTGTATGTTTGTTAACACATGCGACACTTGACATCATTCTGTGTTCCAGTAGAACAGGGGATGATGAAAATGTATCACGATTTTACAGTGCAGGTAGCTGTGCTGTTCTCTCTGTGTGTATTTCAGCGACTGTTTTTGACCACACACACACACACACAAGGGGACAGGGAAATGTAAGACCAGCTGTGTAGATGGTCACTGCATGTTTATACTCCATGATATGGTTCCTCGTGGATCAATAAATTTATGATGTTGGTGGATCTTGTTTGTAAGAGACCTGGTATCCAAGATAATAATTATTAAGCCCATAGGTTAGGGTAAGGAGGGACAAATGCAGGGATTTTAAAGATCAGCACAGTTAATTGTATCATTGTAATGGAGTTTTTGTGGCAATATTGCAAAAGGGATTTTGCAGCACAGTAAGGTATCCAATTGTCTTTAAGAACGTGGGACCCGTTTCTTGAAAGTCTTGGTTATCAACGGCCCCTAAAAGCCATTTTTGTTTACATTCAAGATAGAGGTTAAAGTACCGGTAGTTTTGTGAATAACAGGGTAAAACTATCAGTTAACAAGGCAAAGTGCACTGGTTTGTTAGCTAGGATCTGCAGTCTTATTCTTTATATTTTGATTTCAATATCTGATTTTGGACCCACAAAGTCTTCAGGACTTTTGAGAAATAGGCCCCAGATTCAAATCCTGCCTACTTAAATTTATTTTTATTTTGGCTTCTGTCTTGAAGTGGGTGTAAAACAAAATTGCTATGGCATTGACCCCACTGTTCTCCAAAATGTCCAAAATGTTAGTGTTATTTAAAAATGTTGTTGTTATGCATGACATCTATTTGCTGATAATAACTGACTGGTTTGCTTTTTAGCATCTCTCCAATGGTCCTGTTAGTCACGATATAAGTGCACATGAAGAGCAAATGGAAGAGATGCAGTTTGTTCTTGACAAACGAGCCAAGGAGGTTGAAAGGGTAAAACTTTAACTTATTGAAAATAGCAGTACTGTAGGCAGTCAGAGTAAGAGGAGGGAGAAGTGCACCCTTTGTTTCTCTGGGTAATAATCTATCGCAGGGGCTGTGCTCTAGCACCACCTGTTAGCCTCTGGAAACTTGCTTCTCCCTTTGGGTGACACGAAAATTTTAACGTTTTGCACAAAACTGAAATACTGGACACCCTTTTGTTAGAGCACGTCCATGGGGAAGTTCTTGGGAGTGTGTTTCACTCACAGACCACTGTTGGAGGGGGCGGGCGAGCATGACTTTCCAGAAAAGAAATGGTAATGTTAAAGATAAAACCTGTCAAAAATTATTTGACCATATATTTTTTACATCTTATTATTGTACAAGATATGCCAGCAGACTTTTAGTGTTAGGTTGGATGGCAACCAGCTTTTATCCAGATGGTGACAGGTTTTTTCAAAGCTGTGCTGTGTTTGTTTTCTTTTTAGCTTACAAGAGAAAATAAAGACTTAAAAGAGAGATGCACAACTCTCGAAGAAGAATTAAGAATATGTAATAAACAACTTGATCGAGGAAATACCTCTATACAGAGACTGGAAAGAGATTTAGATGAGGTATGTTTGCTTTTTGTAGACTTCTAGGCCTAATTATGGAAGATGATTTAAGAAATCCTGTGGTGTGCAGTGTTAAAGTAACAAATTTATTATTACTTACTTCTATATTGGGTAATTATAAGACAATAGACTTGACTCACTTCAACAACAAGCTGGTGTTCTGAGTAATGAAAGCATTTGCAACTTTTATGATTATAGTATTTGATTATGCTAACTTTTATTGTAAATAGGCAGCAGCACAGAAATCAGACATGGAGGATAGAATAACAACCTTGGAAAAGCGTTATGTGAGACTTCAGCATGAGGTTACAGCACTTAATGATGATAATGAACGACTAGAAACCGAGTTGGCAAGTAAAGAAAGTGAACTTATACAGGTTAGCAAGTTACTATTGACAGTGTGACATGTTGTTATGTAAACTACTAGGTCTTGGTACTTAACTACAGTCAAGTTTTCCTACGTTAGCTAAATTATTGTAGATGCAATTTTGAATTTGCTTTATTTCTCCCTAACATTTAGCAAGGGATACAATCTACAGTTTTCTGTTCTTTTATGTCTTTCTAGGCAGAGGAGAAGATCCGGCTACAGCAAGAAAGACTGGAACTTGCTGAGCAGAACCTTAACCAGTCCTTGCGAAAAGCTGAAGCATTGCCAAAAATTGAGGAAGAACTAGCTGTCCAAATGGCTGCTTTGAATGAGGTTAGGCTTCGATGAGGGACATTTTAAGTAAAGCACTTCTTTCTTGTTTCTATACTAAACACCAGATGTGGGTGGAACTTTTAATTGCTCCAAAAGTGAGATTTGATTCTTTGTGTCTTTGTAATCTCTCCTCCCCTCCTCCCCCCATGCAATTACATGACAACACAAAGATTGGTGGTGTAAGAGATGACCATTCTACCTTTTACTTTCTCAAAGGTTTGGCACTTTTAATCTCCTATTAATCTCAAACTCCCATTTACTCCCATTTTCAGTTACTGCATTTTATTGTATTCCATTTTTATGTTGTTGTATTTTATTGTATACCCTGCGAGCAGAGGTTACATTTTCGCTGTGTGAGCTGGCATGCGAAAAGTAGCCTCTGCCGACAACCATTCAATTTTCTATCGGCATGTGCGAAATTCGTCACCCAATTTGCAAGCAAAATTAATCGTCAGGTCTGCCGTCAAATGGCGTGAGTTTCGCGGGAATAAAAAAATTGCATTAACTCTGATCTGCTATGCAAGATTCGCGCAAGACTTGCGCAATGCTCTAAACCAGTCAAGAACAGGAAAAAACCCATTTTTTAAATTTATTTGTCCAGATTTCTGGACGGATTTGAACGTTGTCGGCAGAGGCTACTTTTCACACACCAGTTAACACAGCGAAAATGTAGCCTCTGCTCGCAGGGTTTTATTGTACTTTGTGGCGCTAACATTTTTTATTTGATATTGTACTGCATAAACAAGTTTCAGCATATTTGGTGTTTTGTTTCCAGGCTGCCGAGAAACATGTCTCTGCTGAAGAGACTTTACAGCAGCTGCAAGCCCAAGTTCAGGATCTCCAGGCAGAACTCAATAGGGTGAGGCACTGGAGACGTGACTACATTCTAATAAGAATCTTCTCTGTACATGACTTTCTTATCAGGCAGTAGAGTATGCAAAGACCACACCACACCCCATTTCATTTAACAGACTTTGGTTGGGAAGGGGCAATTGGGAATTTATCTTTGTGAGTATTCTAATTACACCAGAAAAAAAAATTGGTATAAAAAATTTACTAGACAAAATTGATCTGTACTATGGACAGTATGTAAAGATTCCTAATTAATTTCTAGAGGGTTTAAGTCCTTTCTGAGCTTGCTTCAATATCTGCCTTGAATTGTGAAATTGCTGGTTGTACCCGGTGTTGCTGCCATTTATTTACAGGAGAATATCAATATCTTTGTAGGCACGTGAAAGAGAAAAAATGAATGAAGATCATAATGCTAGGTTATCAAACACAATTGACAAACTACTGGGTGAATCAAATGAAAGATTACAGGTTCACCTCAAAGAGCGAATGGCTGCATTGGAAGAGAAGGTATGAGTATGTGCCCTATACTTAACTCATGCTAGTTACCACTTTGTTCTTTTTGTATGTACACAAAACGGGCTTCTATGTTTACTAACTTTGTTGTAGGCCTTTACCGAATAAAATACATTTGTTCTTGTTTAGCTTTGTTATAAACTAAGTACATGTCACTGGAAATTGTTTAAACTCGTGATGGTTCTTAGTTATGTGTAGATGACAATGATCAAGCTTCACTTGTAGTACTGCAAGTGTATTCCCATTTGACTATGGTTCAGTAATTTATTTAAGCATTTTTTACCTTTACTGGGTTGTGTCAAGGAATACCTTCCAACCAAATTGGTGAAAAAAATCCTAATTTCCTTCCAAATAATACTGGTGTATTCAACAAAACATTTTCCATTCTCTTTGCAACAGGCTGCTTTAACTCAAGAACTTACTGTAGTAAAGTCACAAGTTGAAGATCTCCAAAGAGAGAAGGTAAAAGGTGGTTGAGATTATGGAATGGTGTGCTTTAACAAAAAAAATAGTTCTGATCTTATGAAATCCTGGTTGCCTAACACACAAGTTGTACCTAAAACCCATTCAACCTGTAGCTTACAAAGATAAGAACCTTGAAGAAAAGCCAACCCAAATAATAATCTAAGTAATGATTAAAACTGAGAATAGGATTTTACTTACATTTTTATGGTAAGTTTTGTGTAAACATAGTTTTTTTTGTCACCTAAGAGACTAATAAGAGTGAGCTGCTATGACTCACTGGTTACTGCTTACAGCTAGTGCAAAACACTGATATTTTACTCCAGTGCTATTCTATTGTAGTTGGGAGATTTTCTGCTTGAAGCTATGTTAAATGCTCTCATGTCTAAGTCAGTAGTTTGAATTTTTTTCCTTTCTAGGAAATATTAGCTCTAGAACTGGGAAGGCTGAATGAAGAATTTGAAAAGTTAAAATCCAAGGTATAATAATTTATATATTTTTGCTTCCCGTGAATATTAAGGTCAGGATAATTTTAAGAACTTTGGGGATTTGCTTTAATCAGTAAAATTGGAGTCCAATAGTGCAATCCATCGCTGATAAATGAAAGTCATTCTTAAAAAAGAGCAGAATACCTTGATCAAAAACATAAACATATAAACAACTAAAACCTTTGGTGTGACAGTTTGCTTTAATGACTGTCAAACTTCAAAGATGGTTATGTTTTGCAGCCTTTTAGAACATTTTTTTTCATCATGTACCCATGCTCAGATGAAAACTACAACTGTACTCATACTCAATCCTGTACTCGCAGCCGATTCTGAAGGTCCTAAATACATTAATAAAGCAAGTCAAAGTGCATAAACACAATGAATGTCAAGGCAACCATTTACACCTTCTATATTGTATTTTTGTTCTCTCTCAAATCAGGGTGTCATTGATGCAACTGTAAATGGTCCTGTTGTGCACTTCAGGTAGAGTACCAAAGTTAAGTGAAATGAATAAATATGGTACCATGTGGAACTGATCATTGCAGAGCAATAATTGTTGGAGAAGACTTTTTAGGGACTGCGAGTTGGTTGTCCTAATATTTTTGTTGTAAATACATTATAGTGAACCCGTCAAACGAGAGACAAAAGGTCGTGCTGGAATAGAGGATTCACCCAGTCGAGTATTCACGCTCAATGAACAGGAATGGCAAAAGCTTGAACAGGAAAGTGTGCTAAAAAATGTTGCCATGGCATTTGACACAAATCGATTGTCTGACATTGAAAGTGATGCTGGTAGTGAAACATCAGAGGACAAAGGTGTAGGCGGTGATGCACAGACACTGGCATCATTGTTACAGCAGCAGATAGATGTTATTAACAAGGAACTCAGGTGAGTTGTAATTGTGCTATGGCTTTTAGCCCTTAAAGCTCAAATACTGACCAAGTTTGTCCCCTTTTCAGTCAATTACAAGAGGAGCACAAGTCAACAGAAAGAAAAGCCCAGGTCCTGGAAAGATCTGCAGTAAAAACACCTATGCATAAAGATATGTATTCAGCTTCTCAACAAGTACATGTAAGTGTAATATCTTTCGCATTCAATAGAATATGTTGAACCATATGTCGGTGAATTTTTTAAACCAACTTTGTGTTCACTTTGACAGCTATGCAAATGTTGCCAAAGGTGATAGATTGAAAACTTTATGTCTGACTGCAAAACATGTAACATTTTGTTTCCAAATCATCATGATATGGCCATGCACACACTGAAGAACATTAGCCAAAATACTTAAAAGGGGGAAGCCTTTGTACGTGTATAGGGATCTGCATCCCTAACTTCAGGAATCATGTAGTGCATGACACAATTTGATCCTTGTGAGATTGAGCAGCATTGTAGTCGTCAACAACGAAGTATCCATCCTAGAATCTGTCATATTGAAATGTAGTACATCTTAAACATGCAACATGAATCATGTTTCTAATTATTTAGTCAAGCTGTGTTGTTTTGTCTTAAATGTTTTCAGGAGCTGGTTGCATCATCTACATCTTTCCCATTTCCTCCTCTTGATCCAATGGACACAACACCAATCTGGGTATGATCAGTTCTTCAGGCACATTTTAAGTGTTTCTAACATGAAACCATTCAGAACTTGCTTTGTATTTGATGTTCATGTTTTACATTTTAACTCCAGGTGAGATCAAGTAAGGAGAATTCACTTAATACTCTTGAAGATGCCCACACGCCACCCACACCAAGCTCAACTGCATCTGATTCAACAGAGAGTTCTAAACCCAGTCAGTCAGGCATAACGTCTAGTTTATCACCGGATGATGCTGCAAATACGGTTCCTTCTACAAATGGCATAATCAAAACAAGGTAGGAAACAGACACAGTAGCAACTGTTTTGTTCTCCTTGGCTATGTAACCTTATCTTGAGCAATGAAATTAGACATGGCTTACTTTTATTATTATAAAGACTCTGAAGTTTAAATGCAAGCTTTCTAAAATGTCACACAGTCAAATGTCATTTTATTGGGTTAAAAGGGTAATTTGTTTGGAGAGTTCCAACCATACTTGCAATCACATCAACAAGTATCAGACCAAGCAGCAAAAAAGAAAGTTACTACTTGGATTGATATACTTTGGTCGTGACTCACAAACACAACCTTTTGACTACCTTCAATTAAACACTTTAAAATTGTCAATAGGTTGTGCTTTTGGGTGACAAACAAAGTATTTTCCTGTGTTTCTTTAAATATAATCATCATCCCTGAAAGAAGTGACAGTGGCATTTTATTTTTTAAGTTCAAAGCGTACTTGTGTATAAGTTTCTGTTACTTGTGTGCAAAAGTTGGTATATATCTCAAGTCAATTCAAATCCTCAAATTTTTCAGGGATAGTTCAGCAGACTCTTTGCCAAGTATCACTAGTACAACCAGTAGTGCAGAATCATTATCCAAGAACAAAGCACATAAAAAGGGGATCAAAGGATCTTTTGGGCGTATTTTTGGCAATAAACCAAAAACTAAGCAAAAGGACTCTGGGGAAGTCCCCACAGACTCCTACTTGATGCCTGGTGAACCAGTTCCGGGAGGTTCAGGGCAGCGAGAGTTAGACAGGAGAATAAAAAATAAATCACACCTGTTAGCGGAGGCATTAGCAGCTGGTACACCTTTTGCTTTATGGAATGCACCCACTGTTGTGGCTTGGCTAGAGGTGAGTTGGTATGCTGTGGTCTGCATTTCTGTGCAGTGAGTTTAAACTAGGAGTTACTGATGATTCACCACATTTAACACATGCATAATAATTTTGGTGGCAATCAGTTTACCTAATGTTTATGATGCATAATTTAGACATGAAACTGCAAGTCAATGTTAGAGAATTCTTGGGCCGTACATATCCTTTCTTGGAGAAAATGTTTGAAGGAATTCATGCCTCTTAAGTAAACATTTCCCTCTCTGTTACAATTTCAGGAATAATATTAATGTAATGCACTTTTGTTTATCACTTTGTTGAGCCGGTAAGTCGATTTATTATTAGACTATAGGAATTTATTCGAGATTGTTTTTTCAATTGTTGTAGTTGTGGGTTGGCATGCCTGCTTGGTATGTTGCTGCTTGTAAAGCAAATGTGAAGAGTGGAGCAATAATGTCGGTAAGGAGTCACACAGTTACCTGTTTTTTTAGGCAGTACAAAGCAAAAGGAAAGACAATAATCCTGTCCTCTTGAGCTTCTTATATTTGTACATTACCAAAGTGCAGGAGAGAAAATGTGTATCTGATGTTTATTTATACAGATGTCGCGTTGCTTATAGCCAGACAAAACTACTGGGGACCAGCCTTTAATGGTAGGCTGGGCTCTGTTTAAGTAATCGCTCATCTTGTCCAACAACAAAAAAATGCAACCCGAAGGGTTCTGTGCCTCATCTATTCATTTATAACAGAACCAATTCCATTTCCCAGATGCCATTATGAGAAGTCAGAATAAAACATTTTTTTCTTTTAGGCTTTGTCAGATACTGAGATTCAGCATGAGATTGGGATATCCAATCCTCTACATCGACTCAAGTTACGACTTGCCATTCAAGAGATTGTTACTCTTACAAGTCCATCCTCACCTACAACTAACAGAAATGTAAGTTTTGAAATTGTGTAAGTTACATTTTTTTTGTGCTTGTTGTGCAGTCTGAGGCCAGGAAAATTGCTCTTAGCTTCTGATTGGATGAGGTATCAGAAAGAATACAATATTATTTAATGTTATAAGAAGAAGTCACACTGTTCAGCTTCTTGCTGTAACCAAACTGCTCAGCATCGTGTGTAGAAATGATGAGTGAGATACATGATGTGTGTTCTGATTAGTCATCAGTAAAATTTTTTTCACAAGAAGCCTCGTCTGAAGAATACTATACATGACCAGTTGAAATGTTAGGATTTAAGTCCCTAGTGACCATATATGTTGTGATACATGTACAAACAGTAAAATGATTATTACTTTTTATCAAAACCCCTGACCTCCTGGTTATTTTGCAGTCATTAGTCTATGGTGAAATGAACCACGATTGGATTGCCAATGAGTGGCTTCCAAGTCTAGGTCTTGCTCAATACAAGGTGAGTAAACTCCCTCCTGACCAATTACAGGTGTTATCTGATCACCTAAAAATTTCTTACATTACTGGACTCAACTAAAGATAGAAATTGGGTTGTATAGAAATAAAATTATTTAGTGACTTAGTTTTATCCTTTGTTCAATTTTTATTATTATTATTATATTGTTTGTTTGTTTTTATGCTGATGAGTTAAGGGAACCAAAAGGTGTTATTGTTCTTTCACTAAAATCCTACTGCGATAATAACATTAACCCTTGTATGTTGTCTCCACAGAGCTCTTTTCAAGAATGTTTAGTAGATGCAAGAATGCTGGAACACATCAGCAAAAAGGAATATCAAAAATATTTGAAAGTAGTTGATAGTTTTCACAGGTTTGTATGATGATGCCTAGTCGATGGACTTATTTACTGACTGATGCTTAAACTACTGATTGTTGACTGTTTGGCATTAGTTGGTGGTAATTTGCAGTTGTTGTATTTGAACTTTTTGTACATGTGCTGTGCTTTTTATACCTCTAAACATTTCGGTAGGGTTTTCTCAACTGGGCAGGGTAAGATAGCAAAAACATGATAAACAAAAATCTTGACTTGTCCCTTTCATTATCCTTTGTTGGCACAACAAAATCAATCATAGCATCTTGTCATCTGTAAATGTAAATGACAGAATGATGTGCACTTTAAAACGTAATATGTTTTTATCAGTTTCACTCATGAACTTTTTCAACATAACAACTAACAAACCTTTATCCTCTTTTCAGGCACAGCTTACAGTGTGGTGTTAAATGTTTAGGATTTATGAATTATGATAGGCGGGTAGGTGTTTGTTTCTACATTGTAGTAAACCAATGCAAGTGGTTGAGTAGAACAATATCATTATTACATTGTGGTCTGCTTCTCATGAGTCAATGCTAGATTTGACACTTACGTTTTGCACAAGTATATTATTTTTTGTAATATATATCACTTTGCATCTTCAGTAAAATAATGCTTATAAGTGCTTAAGTTAGACAGCTCATGGCAAATTGTTGATAAATGAGACAAAAAAAAACCCACACGGTCCAAGTACTGTAGGGACTTTTTGAAACTCCTGAGTTGACAGATCACCAGTCTGAGTTTTTACAGATAACAAGTCTGATCTCTTCACCCCCCACCACCAGATATAAGCCCAACAAAAACCCCTTGCAGCATATGAGATGCCCCTTAAAGAACCTTCTAATAGATGACTTTACTGGATGAACTGTTTTTTCTTTCCCTCGAGTCATTTTGTGATATGAATTAAACTCTGTACCCAGCTACAGTATGATGGCTCAATAAATATTATATCTTTAATTGGCTACTGTCGGTTGTAATTTAAAGTAATGAATAGTGAAGTAGAAAAGAAGCAAAAAATTGTATGTATTACTTAACAGTTTAGAGATATTCTTTTGGTAAATAGATGATAAATGTCTTTTTTATTCTTCAAGTTGCTAGAGAAAAGAAGACAAATGTGTGCAGACGAGTCAAAAGGTAAAAGCTAAACTGGAATTATATTGTTAACAGTGCCTGCAAGAGTTTATCCCACTGACTCAAAAGAGAATTGCAAAATTGGTTTTAAAAGCAGCAAGTTGCCCAATATGTAAATTGCACTGGCTGCCAACCGTAGTAACAAACTGATTTCTTTAGCTTGTTTCTGCATCCTGAACCATACTAGAGATTTTTTGTAGCTTATAGCGTTCATGCTGGGACACCATTCAAAAACCCTCTTAGCCTGTCACCTAGAGTAAATGTTCAGTGATTGTACCAAAGCGATGTTATGATCATCATTTTTCAGATGTACTTGTCTGGAGTAACGATCGTGTAATTACATGGCTTAAGAAGATTGGACTGTCAGAATATGCAGACAATCTTCCTGGCACTGGAGTACATGGGGCAGTTATTGCTTTGGATGAGACTTTTGATCACAGTACTCTAGCGTATGCCCTACAGATACCCAGTCAGAACACACAAGTAAGGCTTCTACGTTTTATTTCTTATTTAAGCTAAGGTTTCATTCTCTCTTCTTCCATGGTGTCTTCAGTCTCTGTTAAATGTTATTTGGTACTGAATTTAGTAATGTGGTTTTCAAATGAATAATGCCATATTCCACACAAGTCTTATTTTTATTTTTGTTGTTGTCGTTCAATAGGGTGTTTATCATTTCTTTTTAGTTCTCACTTTTTGTGCAAATTCTATACTCATGTAGAGAGATGTTATGATGTATGAGTTCACACGATAACACCCCACATCTCTCATAGGGTGAACACCATTACTTTGTTAACCATCCCCTGAGCAGAACCACTGTAATACCCAGTTAGCAGGATTATGGGAATTGTGCCCTCTTTCTGTTAACTTGACCTTGTTAATAATAATAATAATAATAATAATAATAATAATAATAATAATAATAATAATAATAATAATTCCTTCATTTACCGACGGCATTATTTACAGCACTAATGCTAGTGGGACCGAGCAAATGCCTGAAACAAATAATTCAAATTGAACTTAACAGGGTTAAGAATCCCAACTGGCCAGAGGCAAACCAGCTGGCTATTTACAAGCATGGCTGAGGATTTCAACTTGCGGCTACCTAGAACAAATCCAGCTAGTGGTCGAAGCGGGACTTGAACTCGGGGCCTCTGAATTTCAAGTCCGGCGTTCTAACCACTTGGCCACGCTTTTCTCCTGGGTACTTCATGATGCTGAAAACAGAGATGTGTGGGTGACATCATCTCCAACTGTGCCTTTAGTGTTATGTACGCCTTTCCGGTTTTCATGTTAGTACTTAGTCTATGTAATTGATGTTTATTTTTTTTTGTAGACACGTCATGTTCTTGAGCGAGATTTCAACTGGCTCTTGGCAAATGCCACTGACAGGGAAATTGTAGATGAAGTAAGTTTTGCCATTCTCTGTGAATTTTCGTCTGTTGTGGCTAGTTTTCCATCAGATCTTTTACTAGAGGATTCAACTGAGAAAAAGAGGGGAAGGAGTGGGAGGGTGGAGAAAAGCCCCCCCCCCCCCCCCCCCCCCCCCCCCCCCCCCCCCCCCCCCCCCCCCCCCCCCCAACAACAATAGTCCGTAATAATAATCACCCCCTTTTTATTAAACATTTTTTCTTTCAACATAATTTTTTTTTTTTTTTTTTTTTTTTTTTTTTTTTTTTTTTTTTTTTTATTAACAACAATATATTATAATTTTTTTTTTTTTTTCTATTCTTTTCTTTGGAAAAGGGCCTGCAAGGGAAAATTTATATGTAAGTAATTTTTTCCTTTTTTTGTTATTTTTTTTTGTTTTTGGGTTTTTTTTCTTAAAATTTTTTTATGAAGGAATAAACAAGAAAAAAAGGGGGAGGGGGGGGGGGGGGGGGAAAAACCCCCCCCCCCCCCCCCCCCCATCGCATCCTCCCAATCGCCCACCCCTATCGACTAGATATAGGCTGGATCTATGAAATCATCTGGCTCTTTATACACAAGTTTCTCACTTGAAAACTATTTGATGCATTTTGTTACTGCAGTGTGTTATTAAATTTCTATGTTAGAAACAATAAAATCTAACTTAAGTTACTTTGCTGCAGCTTGGCAATGGTGGTGAGTTTAAACGTTCCAAGTCTTGGCGTAAGATGTTTAAGCAGCGAGATAAAGGAAAAGACAAGACCAAAGAGAAGGAACCTGTAAGAAAGAACTCCTCTGGATCTGAATCATCACTCAGTCAATCAAGTGTCACTTCATCTCCAAAGACATCAGCAAAAAATACAAAGCATGGTGTAGCAAGTAATGACAGTAAAGCTTCAGGTAAAATATTGTTTTATGTAGGAAGGTGTACTGGCATTCATTAGTGGCCAGAACTAACTCAAGAAAAATTCTTAGTTTCATTTTGTCAGTGCAGTTGAACAGCCATTAAGTCACCACCCTTGCTACTTAATGGCAGTTGGCCGCTCATAAGAGGTTTGTCAGAAATTAGCACAAGTCACTTTATTGGTTTGAGAAAACTGTTGCACAAAAATAAAAACATCCCTTCAAAATGTTGTGATGAAGTTCTTCCAACTTGACACAAACAATACCATAAACTATGGTGATGCCAAAAGCTGACTATGGCCGCTTGGTAGAGGTGGCTGCAGTAGAGATTTAATTTACTTCTACAATAGTATAATGAATGGATTTATTTTAGGACTGTTTACTGTTTCAGGGTACGTTTTTGCTCATGTTATTGAAAATTCATTTTTCCCTTCATAATTAACTTATCGGCAGTTGCATACACTGCATGGTTTTTAAATAGTTCTGTGTTTATATAATTAGGGAGACCTTTTCTAACGTCAATTTCTTCTGCCTTAGATGCTCTGATTACAAGCAGCAATCTTGCGTAGCAGCAGTTGGGCAATTGAAGATGTGGCAGTTCGGTAAGGAAGCATTAAATAATCAATTACTCCACAATGATATGGTTAAGGTGCTTAATACGAATATCTCTCCCTCTACAGAGGCTACAGCTAGAATTCTAATAAAGATTAACAAAATGGTAACCGCGGGGAAACAATGGGATGAAAGAAAAGGCCGCCCATCATCCCCCTGCTTTTTTTTTCCTTTCATCTTAGCCTCCTCATGAAACAAAGAGGCCTGTGCGGAGGCGTGAAGCTAAGCTTCGTTAGCAAATATTAACACCAAGATATTTTTCTTCTTTTTTTCTTTCCAGATGTCAATTACGTTGGCTCATTAACAATAATAAATTGTTAATCAAGTATGCTTAAATTATAGATACAAAATTTATTTTTTCAGTTAGACAGGGTTATTAACATTGCCCAACTACACTAGTCAGTTGTAGTGCTTAATTTTATGGCATTGTAACAAAAGATTTATTATGCAAAGGAATTTGCGTGGGGTTAGTGGGGACCAATATTGGTCTCCTCCAATGGTTAAAAGGTTTCCATGAATTTCTATACATATATATATATATATATATAAAACCTATCCGACTTGTGAATATTATTAATAATGTTGGGTATGAATTTAATTGATGAGAATTATGCACACCCTACCTGGGTTTTATGACTTGCGGTTAATTCACAAACACCCAGCCTCGCCATCAAATAACTCGCCCACAAAAAGTTAATTCGGGGCGAGCTTTCTTTCGTTTGGGCGAAGTAACCAGTTGTCATTTTCCAGATTTCCTCCCTTGATGTTAGCCCTGAAAGGAGCGTGACCTTGAGTATTCGAGAAACATTTTTGTGGTTGGTAAAATAGCCAATTCTCGATTTATTATTTTTTATTTGCAATATTCGTTTCCTATATTTCTTTTCCTTTTTGGAGAGGATAGCTAAGTATTCTTGTATTTAATTTGTTATTTTTATAAGTGTTTGCTAAGTAATTACTTAAAGTTATCCTGCCAACCAATTTGTTTTGCAACAAATTATCATAATTGTTGTTTCTTCACTATGTCTGCATATTGGTAGAAATCTTTTTTATCAACCGTACAATTTATAACTACGAAAGACGTAAACTGGAAACGCCCCCTTAATTAGGTTTGTTGTAAATCAAAGTAACGCTCTTTATTTTACTTTGCCAATCAGACAATTTGCGCATTCTCTGTAAGAAGTTGCGACTAAACTAACTTGTTGTCAAGCAACTTCGTTACCAGGGTTTCTCTTCTTTCTGTCCCCTGAAGAACTACATTGGTTCCTTGCCTCGATTGCAAACTAGTTCCAGGTCACTGCCGAATGTCGATGTTGTAGTGCGTTACCAAAGTACATCCGTTTATTAGTGAGATCTTTATGTTGTTAGTAGGGTTCTAAAACAGCTGAGCCAAGTGCAAAGTTTCCGCCAGTATCTGCAGCCGAGTCTTGGCGTGAACGTATGCTGGTTTTAATTTGAGATAATTAGGTAAATTAAATTAAAAGGGTAATTGTACTTTTTCGAAATTTAATTGAATGAAAACAGTCTCTCCTAATGAATCAAAGGGGGAAAAGAATTATATTGATAAAAAGTGTGACCTTAAAACGCCCTTCACGTGGTCATTATCAAGTAACAGGCATATTTGTTCTATGTACATGTAAATTGCGCCGCGGGTAGACTGAGAGTAGGGGTGGTGGGGCTGAAGCTTGTACACGGAATTTTACGCCATTCTTTTTTTCAGGTGAAATCCTATTGTAAACACTTAAGGCGCAAAACTGAAACCTATCAAGATAGGCGAGAAGTGATAAACACTCGAGCTACACTCATTACTATTTCCACCAGGGAACTGGCTGGTCCGCGTTCGTGGAAATAGTGGGCAAGACTTCTTGGGGAATTCCCTGCTAAATTTCCCCCCTTACTTTAATTTACGAAGAGATTGTGGAGAGAGAGTCCTAGTGTCCTTTACCCGTCAGAATTGGTGCGGGGCCTGGAAATGGTAGGGGAAAGCAAATCGAAAACATTTGCTGATCAACAATTCTGGTTGGTAGTTTGAACTACTCTCCAGTTCAGTGCAATCTCTCATGGCGGTTTACTCGAGTTGTGTATCTTCTCGTTGATCTTTTTAGGTGTGCCCTGTTCTTTGCAGAAAAGATATGTTGACCATTTCAGTGTTGAGTGAATTTTGGTCATACTTCTAATTTGTACAGAAACTCTTTGAATATATAGACAATACAAGAATAATTTTGATAACAGCAATTTGTCTACTTCATTAGCTGGCTTTTTCGTAAATTATTGAAGGAAAATTAGGTACTGAATATAACACGGCAAGCATAGTATCTTCAATTCCTCAGAGGACTGACAGTAGATATGGTTTACTATGTGATTCCATCTTATTAGCTCTCCAAATGTGGTAATTAAAGTAAGTCCGGCTTGCATGCGAGACGGCGAAATGTTCGTGGTCTTTTACGACTTCTCTAGAAATACTGTATGTTTTTCCCCTGGAATTGCGGAAATGGTATATATTGCTAAAAATCAAAGGTCTTTGATTACTTAATATGGAAATAGGACGAAAAAGATAACAAGCCGTCACTGGTATAAATTTTAAGTGCTCTACAAATTGTACTCACTTTTAGAAAGAAAACAAAACCACAAATGTCAGCCCCTTTATATAATGGTAGAATTTCCCACTAATCTTGGCATTATTTTTTTTAAAAGCGCTCCCTACGTAGGAGCCACTTATATGTCCTTTCGTGACTGTATTTATTCACAACTGAGAACAGTGTTCTTTTGTTTTTCATTACTGCTGTACATCAGTTTGTAACATACAAATAAAACTTTGTTATCTCTAATGTATATGTACCCAAATATCAAGAACTTGAAATACAGTTATATTTTCTTACAAGTGACCTGCAAGTATTTTGGGGAGGGGTTCGGGTAAAAGGGTATCGTAACACTACAGAAGTGATTTAATACAAGTGACTTGCAATAGCCTGCGAGCAAGCTCTCCGGGGCGCTCTGTCGGCGGGGCGAGAAAAGGAAAGAGAGCTTGCAACTACGTCTCTGGAATTTGAATATCTGCATCGAAAAGTCGACTAGGCTAGACTTGCAAGTACTATATTTGAGAGAGGGCGTTGGCGCTGGGGTGGAAGGGTCTGGTAATACTGTAGTGGTATAGCCTGCGATCATGCCCTCTCCCTTTATCTCTGTAATCTGTGTTCGGGGGGAGGGCGTTAATTTTTTTTCCTCTCGAGCCAAAGAAGCAAAAAATAATAATAATAATAACACCTGATCTCAGGTTAGTAGTGGTACGGTATTCAAATGTCAATACATGTATTAATTTCCCCTGTGGATTCCACAAAAAAGATTTACAAATTCCCACTATATAATAATCAAGTTTTTAGCCGTGAATACAAATAGTAGTAACACTCTTGTATGATATAACGCTTTACTGTTCCCTTAGGGAAAATCATTCTTTGCGGTTTTTTGTCCTTTCTTACAGATGCATTTGTACAAACGAACAACGTGATTAAGATTATTAAGCCAAGTCGTTTAATGCCAGCTCTAGTCGGCAGAAGGTGTTGTTCGTTGCCTCGGTCAGAGATTCCAGACTTTTACGACTGATCAGGTTTCTCCTCAATTTAAGATTTTCCAGGTTGCAATGGGGGCTGCGGAATGCATGGGGCAAACGGGAAATACCTTCATCGCCGATGTCATTTTGATCTAGAGTCAAACTGTGAAGCTTGCAGTTGTGAATCCGGAGTGATGACAGTAAATCCGTGGCACCTTCGTCACCAACTTGATTGCCTTGCAGATCTAATCTCTGCAAGCAATTGCGTTTCCGGATAGCTGCAGCGAGGAACTTGCATCCTTTGCTGTGGATTAAATTTCTACTTAAATCCAGTTCTTGAAGGGTACAATTTAAGCTGCACAAATTCTGTGAAAGAATTTCCACTCCTTCATCTCCGATCTGATTGCGACTTAGACTCAAATGTTTCACCTTACATGCTGGAGAATCAAACGTTCCTGCGAAGTTTCGAACGCCTTCGTTCGTAATGCTGTTCCCTGCGAGACCTAGAACAGTTATTTGGTTTGATGAGAAAGTTAAAAGTTCGGTGCAGTGTGTTAGTCCTGCGTCTAATAACTTGCAGAAGTTAAGTTCAAGGCGTTTGATTCTGCAACTTGGTGTCATCAAGCAAGGTAGCATTACTTTCAATCCAACACCTTCAATGACATTGCCACTCAAATCAAGTTCCTCTAGGTTTGTCAAAGAGTGAAAGAAAGAGGCCAGGGATTTAATACCTGTGATGGTTATATTGTTCCATGCCAAGCTGATACTGCTTTGACGAATCGACTCCAAACTTGCAACTCCATTATCTCCAATGTTGTTCAAGCCGAGGTTTACTTTTGAGAGTTTAGTCTTCTCTTTTTGAAGAGTCGTGGCTAGCTGCGCTACGCCTTCACTGCAGATGTCGTTACCACTTAGATTCAGTTCCTCTATGGAAGTGTTCAAGTTAAGGGCTGAAGAGAGTGATGAAACACCAACGCTTGTGATACAATTTTCGGCCACATTTAGAATCTTTAACCTGCATTCCCTCTTCTTAAGAGCTTCGGTCATTTCCTTTATACCCTGGTCACCCAGCATGTTTGCTTTCACGTTAAACTCCTCGGTTGGCCCTTTTCCTGGAAGCAGTAGTTTCTGTGTTAATTGTCGTATGCCCATCACTCCTACTTTGTTGTCCGATAAATCGATGCTTCTTATTGACGCAAAGGGAGAGGCACCTAGTACATTTGCAAGGGCGGAGCACTCGGGAACACCAATGTCACAGCACGGAAATTCGACGAAAGGAATAAACCTGCTCGCGACCTCTCGATAAAGCTTACGATCTTTGACCTCCGCAACGCACTTCAGCAAGACAATTTGCAGTTCCTTTTGTTTTCTTTTGCATTGCTGAGGTCCATTATCTAATTCAACTGTGACAAGATGAATTGCTTCTCTCTTCGTCTTATCCGAGGCCTGTGGTAATTGAAACAAAAGGCCACAGGCAAATTGAAGCACTTGGTCGCGCTTTCCAGTTGAGTCCTCTTTGACTTGTTCAACCAAGCTCTGGAATTTCGTCAGCGAATAATCGGAGACGGTGAAGTAGGCTGCTAAAAATTCTTGAAAACAACCCCAGCGGAAAGAGAAACGTGTTTCTTGGTCATCATTGTTCAGCTCGATAGGGCGAAAGTAAACTGGAATGTCTTCCTCTGACAATACACAACGAAGTTCGTCAATGGTAAAGATGGCCTTGCCTTCATCGATACTTCTCATTGCTAAAGAGCATGCGTGGCTGTCAATGTTGGCCAGACCAAGTTGAGTATTCTTACTTCCTGGAGATTTTGAACATTGGTTTGTGCAATTTGATAACTGTCCCTCATCTGGTTGTACTGAACATGATGGTTGCTCCTCCTTCAAGGAAATCATTTGAATCACTTGAATGTACAACTGTGTGAGAGATTCTGGAACTCTCTCTCTCTTCTCCACAACAGATGAGTTATCAAGGCGTCGGGGCCACTTTAGTAAAGAGCACATGTAGAAGCAGTTGGATGGAACACAGCAGATGGAACAAGCATCGTCTGTAAATTGGTTTAGCAGTTCAAGTGTGTTCAATTCCACATCTGCTCTGTCGAAATACTTATTGATATATTCTTCGACTGACTGCGGAAGAAATCCCACGATTTCGGCTTGACTCTCGGCACCTACCAACCCTGTATAGCCGCTGTATAATAGCCTGGTCAGACCAATAACTGTAGCGCCCTTTAAAAGTTTTCCGATGATAAGTTTCTCCAACATAACTGAAAAGGGCATTTCTTCGTCTAAAGTATCTGCAAAATCGGATTCTTTAAACTCTATATTCAATTCACCGACGTTGTCAATAATAATTAAAGTGGAACCGGGATTTCCTTGCACAAAATCGTTGAATTCCAAGGGAAATTGGTTGCAAATTAATTCCCTCAGGCAAACAGTTCTCTTGGCGCCTTTCAGAAGTTTAAAATCAAGAAACAAAACAACCTTGATTTTATTCGAAAGCCATGATTCTCCTTTCGCCCATTGCCTGATTATCTTATGAGCAAATGTAGTCTTCCCTGTTCCTGTCATTCCAGTTAACAAAAACGTAGACGACAAATTCTCTTTGTTTTCCGCCAACTTCTTTTGAACAAAATAGTTCTTTGTAGCAGATTTGGGGCGTTTTACGTCGGTGATGACCGGTTTGATAAAAATGTCATCTAGTTTTAAGACCCCACCTTCGGGTAAAAGAAAGTTGTCCACGTATTCGGTTTTTTCTAAATAAAAGTTTTTGATGTCCTCAAAGTATTTATCCAGTTCTTTTTCAGATTGGTTTTCAGGTTCGCGTGGAAGGTCAATTTTTCTCACGTGGAGGCTAAGTAAGATGAATTGTGTGTCGGTTGGTATTGCACAAACGCACAAACATCCGTTATCAAGATGTTCACGTTCATTATTTTCTTCTCCGACAAACACCGTTCTGCTTCTGGACCTCGTCATATTTAAGACGTAAACTAGTTCTACTAAAGGAATCAAAGTCAACACCGCTAGGGCAGTTGTTAGCGTGGTTTGCATGACTGACTTTTCCACACGGTATCTTTCGTTACAACTGATGGTTTTTGGCTTCGAGTAAGGATCAGTAGTGTTCATAAGAGAACAGTGAAGACGCGAGGGGAAAGAAAATTGCACTTGTGTAACGTAAATGAAAAGCATCACAAAGTGGATGAGAAGCTTGGAAAACAGTTGTATGAAATACGCTATGTAGAGACCACAAAATGGTCTAAACACTTCATGCCTGCGAAATTTTCGTAGCCTCGGAACTGAGTAAGCGGTGTAGAGAAACCAGATGGCAAACGTAAGAACCCCGTAAATTATCGTGAATGTAAATCGGTATTTCTGAGGGGAATTGTCGTAATCTGGACATACCAGCTTGACATTTGGCTGTTTCAAGGTGTAGTTACAGTTTAGGTTGTTATCCATAGAATGAAGTATTTCCATTCCCATCAACGTAGCTAAGTAAGACAGGAGCTATAAGCAGACATAAAGTTGGCCAAAGTATGTCTGTGATTTCCAAACCACCAAAAGGAATTCCCTGAGTTTGACAGCTTCCATGGAGAAATTCCCTTGCTTAAAAAAGAGAAAAAAGTGTTTTGTTAGAGACTTGCAGCTATTTAACCCATCATATCAAACCTGTACTTAGTTTTTAGGGTCTCATTTGCTATCCATCCAACATTCACCATTTTCACATAGACCATAATGCGCCTTGTTTACCTCCCCAAATTTGTCGTAACCATTGTCTTGGATTTCTCTTGGGAGGACTGTAATACCCAGGAGAAATTGGAAACATGTTACCATGTTGCGGATTTTCACATTCTTCTTCCACCAACAGGTCTGAACCATTGAAGGTAATGGTCCATTTGTTTGTTTTGTGACGCTCTAGACTCATATTAGGCGGAAGGGGTCAAAACCTCCCCCTTTTCCTGGCTCCCCCTCTTTAGCCCTGTAAGGTTTTGTTGCGAAAGTTCCCCCTATTTCTCCCACTTCTCACCCCTTTGATCTTCAGATCTCCCACCACCCACCTTTCCCTTGTCCGCCCCCAATTCTCCCGAACTACCCCCCCCCCTCCCAACTATTGGGTTGTTTACCACATGTTCTTAAGAATATACGAAGGAGTTATCAAAATATGATTTTAACACTGACAAACGTACCAAGTCAACTATCTAGGTAGTCGCATTCTTATGGTTTGGGGATTTTGTTGGATTTACCTCGGAAGTCTGCCAAATTCAAAATTTAACACCCGATCAAATCATAATATCGCCATGTAACAGCATTGTCAATCAAAAGTGTAAGTGATGCGGTGTGTTGATGAAGGGGCCCAAAAATGTTTTAAAAGGTGACCAAATCATTAGAGAAAGCTTGTAATTATGTCCTCCCCCCTCCCTCCCTCCCTCTTTCCCTCCCTCCCTCCCTCCCTCCATACTCGTAGCTGGTTACCAAATCACATCCCTGAGTACAAGTGCCCGCTCTTCCGCCTCGACACCTCCATAGACTACGAGAAGTCTCTCTTTTTTCTGTAGTCCGTCGAGCAAAACGCGAGACACGCAAATGGCCACGCGCGTGACTGATGGCGCGAGACGGGAAAGGCACGCTCCCGCGCGCGTGCATTGCTCTCACTAAATCTGAAGAAAAAGAGAGACTGCTCGCAGTCTAACACCTCCAGGGAGGTACTGACATATCAGATATTGCCTGCGTGCAGACGTCTCCTATTTCCTTGAGACGTCTGCACGCAGGCAAATCAGATATGGCATACAGCTGCTAAAATCTTTATCAGTTTAGCCGCCGGAGATATCTTGTCACAGAATGATTTGTCACTTGTGTGCACACGTACAACATAAGGCAAACAAAAGTCAATGTAAATTTAAGTAGACAGTTCCTAACATTGCAACCGCTTTCCTGTTACATCGTTTGACAAAAGATGATCATGACATGTATCGTGACCACTCATGCTACGAAAAATACTTTAACCCACGGCAACCGTGATATGAGAGTTATCTCCCTGCCTCCGACAGGATCAAACTACCCCTTTTTCTACTGCAAGATCATCGTGGGCTGCTGTTTTTAAGAAGAACTCTTCGTAAGACAAACCAAACACTTGAGATGAGGGGATGTGACAGTTTGAAATGTTACTCAACTTTTTTTTTTCCGGCTAGACAGTATTCAAATGATTTTTCGGGTGTCAACATTCATCATACTGACGACTTCCTTACTTACCTTATTGGTCGAGCTTATTGCTTTGTCGCTTTAATTGCGCATGTGTGCGGGTGCTCCGACAAGGAATCTTTATCAAACCGATGTGGAAGGATAACTTTAACGTTAAGTTAACTTCTACTTAAACACTGTCTGCACAGCATTTGAACCAAGCGACGCTAAACACGTTCAAGCAAATGGTTTCAAATTTCTTAATTTTTATTGAGATATAAGTAATTTAACATGCTCAATTATTGAAATGTATCCTGGTCATATTATTGGAATGCGAGGAATCCTTCGTTTTATGTTTGCGGAGTAGATAAGGTAGCCGATGACCGATGCAAACAGTCCGTGTATCGCGAGAGGGTAAATGGGGGTCAGCAAGTGGTTAGATACGTGCTGTCTTTGAGATGAATCCGCAGATATATTTTCGCAAAAAAATCAGAAACATAATTTTTGACACGATTTGCTACCGTTTTCATTCTGCCCTTGATTCTCAGTTCGATGGAGTACTGTTCGACAACCAAGAACGTGCGTATATTAAGACAGGCGCACGTCTTGAAGAAATACCTGGAATACCGGCGATTCTAGATGCGTGGGGGTACTTCACTGACTTCTTCAATGTTTGGCCCCGTGCCACACAAAAGTTAGGGTACATTTGTACGTTACATGTGTTAAAATTATATTTAATTTTTTTATTATTATCATTATCATCATTATTATTATTATTATGTCCATTCCTTGTAGACTCAGGTAGGATGTTCGGCCCGGTTTATAGTCCTTAGGAGAGGGTTACAACTAGTCACCACGGGTCCCAGGTTTCTCTTTTCTTTCTTCTTACAGGGACAGTACTTATTATTATTATTATTATTATTATTATTATTATTATTATTATTATTATTATTATTATTATTATTATTATTATTATTATTATTATTATTATTATTATTATTATTTGATTGCGATTTTAAAGGTGGTAAGGAAAAAGGGAGCGCTAAATAAAACAGAGGTGCAGCTCACGTATGAGACAGACTTTTGGTATTACCTTCGATCATCCTCAAAGAATGACTGGAGGCAAGTTTAACGCTGGGCAGATAAGTTGTTTTTGAAAAGTTGCGATACCATTACGATACTTGATAACTCATTGCAGTTCTGTAAATACCCCATATCGATACGATGACGTCAAAGTTTACGACTTGTCATTGTCCGGGTAGAGCCAGCAAGTCAAATGTTTCTTAACACAATTTACTAGGTTTGCTTGTTTCCATTTCTTTATTTAATCTTGTAATGTTTTACAACTTTAAGACACAAATTAAATTACCCATTTACTGCAGCTAATATCATCGGGCTTTATTTGCAGCACCTTTTTGAGTGTCTAAAGGCAAATTACTTCACTCCTTACTACAAAAGACGGATAGCCAGTAAATAAGTTTTTATCTGTGTTCTTTGTCCCAAACTTCATTTGTACAACTTAAATCACTTTGATGAACCTTTCGCAGTGGACAAATAATGAAAATAAGTTGTCATTTACTGCAAATTACGCTCATTTTCTAATGAATGATTGTGTACTAGGCCTCGCTTCTGTCTCCTCCTTAGAGGCCTCTTTGTCTCGTAGGGAGGCTGGGGAAGAGAAAAGAAAGCACGCTGGGCATGATGGGGAGGGGAAAGAGAGAAGCGCTTTCTATTTTTCCATTATTGCTATTTTTATAGGGATACCCAGCGGAGAGGCCTCGCTTTGAATAAAGGATTAGGGCAACTCGGAAGTTGGAGGGGGAAGGGAGAGTGCGGAAGCTATTGTTAGTTTGGTACATGGTATTGTGCTGTGGAAATTGGAGGAGGGAGGGGGAGTGCGGAAGCTACTATTAGTTTGGTACATGGCATTGTGCTGTGGCGTGGATATTGCAGTTTTCTCGAGCCCGCTGCGCGCGTGAAAGCTGAACCGAGGTCAAACGAGAGAACGATGGCGAAGGGGGCGAGGAACAGAATGCTGAGAAAGTGTTTTTTTGTTCTTCTTCCACTCGTCAATATTTTGTATTATGTCATTTGGTGATTACACCATCCACAACACCAGGAAATGCCCCGAAATGGGCAATTCAATATGTCTTTGAAGTTAAGGTAAGGATTCCTTACGCAAACCAAATCACCCATTCCCGCACCCCCCCCCCCCCCCCAAATAGAAAGGGTTTTTTTTTTTTTTTTCCCCTCGTTAAAATTTTGTATTATGGCATTTTGTGATTACACCAACCACAAAACCAGGAAAAGGCCCGAAATTGGCAATTCAAAATTTCTTTGAAGTTTAGGGAAGGGTTCCCTACGCAAACCAAATCACCCATTCCCCCCCCCCCCCCCCCCCCTAAAAGTCAAATAGTTGTCTCCTAAGTGTCTAAAAATGTTAGCTACAAGCCCATGCCAACATGTTTCCTTTCTTGTAAAGTGTGAAGATAATGTTAGGCTTGGACAACATGAAATGATTTTAATCGCTAACTATACTAACCCTAAGATCAAAGTGCATATTCCCTTATTTGTTACCATTGAGGAAGATTTGTTTTAATATTGTTACAATGAATAGGTGATAATCGTTCCCTTTATTCTTCTTGCCTTTTTGTTTGCTTAAGAACTATTAAATTAAGGAGAAACTGAATATTAGTTATTTCAAGGCCCTGAGAGGATAAAATTTCCGTTAACTATATTACTTATTCATAACTAGAACTATAATTAAAGTGAACTTCCTAAACGTCTCTCCTTGTTCTACAAATGACCGCCCAATACTATTGTCTATCAGAATAGCATTCTAACTAGGATGATACAGAGGTATGTTTTAAAGTTTATATATCATAAATTCTGAGCTTTGCAAGCAAAACCTACTTAATCAATTTAAAATTCCTCCATCGGCGATTACCATTTTACATTACAGTCGTCCCTGGCCGTGATCAGTATATCATTGGGGCCTATCAAATGCGTTATGTTATAGCGAAATTCCTCTTTCATTAAGCAACTAAACATCATGAGGAGAAGAGCTGCTGTAATGTGATATGTCGACTATCCAAATACGTCTTGGTTTTAGGTTCTTTTGGTTTAATTATCCAAGACAAAAAGGGATACTCGTCAGACCTTTTACGTTGTGACCAAGGTCATTACGGGTGACAGAGGGATAAGGTAAAAGAAAGTCCATTGATTCTTTATCCCTCGCGATAGCTCTCTTATTATTGTTTATGACATAAAGCCCTTTTCGATGCCAAAGATGGATCTTTTCACCGTAGTGGCTTCTCAGGATATGTTAAAAAATCCTGGAAAATTCTATTCCCCTGGTCACAGTGATATGGGCATCCCCATTCCCAAAACTCTAGTAATATGGGCATCTCCTGTAGCCCTAACCTTAACCCAAACCCAAATCGCGAAGGTAACATGAGAAGGGGATGCCCATATCACTAGGGTTTTGGGAATAGGGATACCTACCCTCTCCAGAATCTATATATAGGGGAAATGGGTACAAGCTTTCGGCGCGACGATTTCTGGGATCGCTTTGGTGGACAAGCCTTTCTTATGACTGGTTAATGGTTGTGCTGAATACCATCGACCAATCATAACTAATGTTTGTCCAACCTAACGATCAAAAACATAGTTGCGCCGAAAGTTTGTACCCCTTCCCCTCATGGTTTCAGGAGTGGGGAATTCCAAGGCAAGATCGCGACAGAAACGAGTGTCCTGGAATCCTCCGGTAAATCAAAGTCAAAACTACAGAAAGTATAACGTTGTTTGTGTCCTCCTTCTAGAATGAAAGGTTGCAACTAATGGTTTTAACGGACAGATAATATGTCTCGAAATCGCTTTCAAATTGGCCCATAAGACTCAAGTCAATAATAGTTTACATCAGTGACAAGTTTTTCTTGTATCCAAATAATATAAAGAGAGGAATATTTTCTAGAAATGCCAACTCTTGGTACTTCAAAATTATATTGGAATATTCAGCATGTTGCGTTCTGCTCGAGGCTTGTTTAATACTTGCACCATTCATCTTGTTTCCTAGATTTAATATAATAAACCTTCTCTTGTCCTCTCTGACCTTGTTTCCTCGTGAGTCATGCCGGCAAAGGCGGTGCAGGACTTAACTTGATGGAAACTCACTACAACTAGAATCATCAATAGCCTTCAGTTGATTAAACTGGCTTTCTTAAGATGCTAACTCACAAATAATAGCCTTTCCGAACGCCCTTTGATTTGAAGCAAAAAACTTCCACAGTTTTAGCCTCGGCTGCTGTCCAAATTCACGTGATTACACGGGAGTTTCAGTTTTTACTCGGACCTCTTCTGTTCCAAGAGTATCAAATGAACTGACTGTCATCTGCCCTGAAGGACTGATTAGGGGTCCGTTAAAGGCCTCGTTAGGTTCATGCATTTCTGATCCGCACTGGCCATTTTCGGCCATCTCCAAAGACTGGGTTAACTCTTCTCGTTTGTAGAAGTAGTTAAAGTTCGAAACTATAACAGGAACAGGAAGAGCGATGGTAAGAACGCCCGATATAGCGCAAATTGAGCCCACAATCTTACCTCCAAAGGTCCGGGGCGTCATATCACCGTATCTGTAAAAGAAAAGATAGTTAAGGAGATGCACCCTTGTTCCCAGGGTTATCCCCTACTCTTCCCTAAGGAGCGAGATAAGGTACAAGTAGGACAGAACTCCGGGAATGAGGTCGAAGGAGGAGGAAAAGCAAAAACACGGTAATATGGGAATCGCTACCAAATTGCTCTATGATGACAAAAAGTTAGCCAAAAATCTAAGTGGATGTAACGTTACCGCCACTTTCCAACTACGTTAACTCTTTTTTCCTTCTATATTTCTTCTATTTTTCTTTTCTGATTTTCTAATCTTTTTAACTAGGAGTATTCTAATTCCACTCGTTTATGGTAGTTACTACAAGTTTAGATAGATAGATAGATAGATAGATAGATAGTTTTTTAATGAGGGTTTCACTTGATATCCACAGATAATATACGCGTGGCCCTCAACCAAAAATTAAGCTTAAAGAATGAAACAAAAATTAAGCAATGAACAAATTTTGCCTTATTTATATGCCGTATGTTCCCTGGGGTAACTGTCGAGTGTTTTTAATCACCGGGACTTCTTGGAAACTCGTAGGGGACGAGTTTCGTAGTATGGATAACTACGTTATAAGAGAAACTTAAAAGTACGTGGCTCATGTTCAGCAACCCACGGTCTGGCCAGTACTTCACGCATGCGTACAGCAATATCACCCGAGAAGTGAGAGCCCTGGACAGCTATTTCACCCTTATTAGGGCTCATCAGCATGACACAGCCGTGGGACCAGCTCTGTACGGTCAAAGCCGTGTTCAGACCCCCCACCATTTACTAGTTGTTTGGACCGATACAAGTTATGAACATTGAGGACGTATTCCTAAACTTATTACTTGCTTGCTCATCCTTCGACCATTTATAATTCATAGCTACGCCTTCTTCTCCATCCTCTTTAGTATCACTCTTCTAAACTCCCCCCCCCCCCTCCCCACGAGGGTGTATTTCCTAAAAATAGAAATTACAATTAGATCATGCTTCTCTCGAAACTTTCTGGCAACCTCTTGAGAGCAGATAATGGTTATAATATATTAATTTGACAAACGAACCAAGGGTTTAAATAAATAAATTATTTATTTGTTTATTTATTCAAAGTGGCGTTATAAGAAACACACAAACTGACCGCGAAAACCTAAGGAAACAAAGGCAACACCATCAAGTTAAGCTTTAAACCCCATCAACTCCAACCCGGCCCAGAACCTCCATCCGTTGCTCATCAGAGGTGAAACAGCGGGTCAGACTATCAGGTCTTTACTGGCCGGCCGAATAATACTACTTTCATACTAATAATAATTGGGCACAATTCAAACTTGGCAGTCGATGTTTTATGCCTTGATACACGCTCCTTAGATGCTCACGCCCATCTATAAATAGCCTGAAAATCTGTAGGAGAAATGGACGCTCCAATAATCCGCTTTTGGCAGTGTATTTGAGGGTAACTCATCAGGGTGAAAAGACAAAACAGGTTCACATTTTCGTGCTGTGTTTTTATCTCTCCGTAATCCTAGGTATAGCTATATAGGTCAGTAGGAAAATTTATATGGTAAGGATAATTTATAGCAAAAAACATGGTGATGGGTGCTCGCCCACGTCTTTTATATAGCCTGAAAATTAACTCATCAGGGTGAAAAGACAAAACAGGTTCACATTTTCGTGCTGTCTTTCAATCTTTCCTTGATCCTACTGAAAGAACATTATTTATCTATTTATAACCTTGACATATCATAGCTGCGCCTTGGTAAGCAGAGTATGCCACTCCCCAGTACATCTGGACATTTCCTTTATCTCTTTTTGTGCGACACTATCCGCGGCTGAAAATGCCCAAATATCATTTACAATTCATTGTAGCTTTTGTCTATATCCTGCAACGATAAAGATGAACGCAGCACGGTTTTTGTTGTAAAACTGTAGATATTACAGAGATCGCCTTCCTATCGCCCCGTGTAAGGGTATCTGGGAAAATTTTACTTGTGGAATCCGGAATCCTGGGCGTGGGAATCCGGAATACAAGTGTCTTTGACAAAAGAAAAAGAAATCAAGTACTCGGAATCCGGAATCCTCAGGGTGGATCCCAGAATCCAAGGCTATCATTCTTCCCTTAAATGGGGCAATTCCTAGGTATAACTATACAGGTCAGTAGGATAATTTATAGCAAAAAACATGCACCATGATACGTCTATACCAATCTCACTGAGACAACACAAAACTTGCTTTTTGAAATTCAAAGATGTCCATTTAGTTTTAAGAAAAGATATTCCTATAGAGGGATATTACATCCGGTGCTTATAAGCCGAACACAAGTGAAGTGTTTCATCTAATATTTAAGGTGGCGAGCAAGTTTATATAACAATCCAAGTGTTTTTGACAGCTTGTATGTTTAGACTACAAGCCGTACCACTCAAGCTCGTTAAATTCGAATTTTTTTCTATGAATTTAATTTTGTTTTAATTTTTTTTTCTGACCTAGCTAGGGCATTTTCAGAGTAATTTGCTCAACTAAACGCAGCGTAACTCATCTAGAAGCATCGCAGTGTTGATAATAATGTGCGATCTCCATTTTCAAACGTTTTGCCAAGTTTGGGTAACTTAAACAATGGCAGTGCTTATGCAATAGCAATTAAAATAATTAGAGGTATTATTCAATCTAAGAAGCTATACAAAAAAATATGTTTGTACAAACATGTCTTGGTGTAGAAGATATCAAATCTCTCTTGTGTCTCATTGAGCAATTATCAGTCGCTTTTCTTTCCGCCAGTCTGACTGGAAATAAATACTCTTCAGTTGACTCTTCCGCAATTGTCGTTTGAATAAAACAAAACTCCATTTTATGGAAATTATCTAAAGGCAATTTGGGCTCACTAATAATTAAGTTTAATATAGATGAGTATATATAGTACTTTACCTCTCGTTTATAAATTCAAATATTTTACTGCGTACGTTGAATATCTCTTATTCCGCATATTGAAAACTAAACAATTGTAGCCTGTTCTAACAGGAAAATATTCCCAATATTAACTATTTAACATTTTCCGTAAACTCAAGGTTTTATTGAATGCTGTAATGAAAACAACGTAGTTATAAATAAATTTTATGAATTTCAGTTGTTTTTCCCTCTGTAGAACTACTCCGAACTTTAAATTTGACTTAATGATGCCAGTTTTTATGATATTATGCCGGTATAAATTAATCAAATATCTTCATAACAACATCAGTAATACCAAATTTTGCGGTCGATCAATACTTGAGATTCTTGAGCTTTTAATCTCTTCACCTTGACGTCTGTGTTTAACCTTTTAAAAAAGGTACAATGTGTCTTCAATGCTCTTGAATAGAGTTTATTACCTTATTTAACCATTTCAGTAGTTTAGAGGCTATATTTAAAACCTCCTTTTCTTACTATTCCGAGAAGAAGGGTAACCCCGGCAACGAGGAATGTCAAGGACAGCTTCTTCTGTTTTTTTTTTTTTTTTGGCCTTGATGGGCTCCTGGTTTTTGCATAATATTTCTCAAATTTTTAATTAAGAGATACTACCACCACTTTGATCTGTTTTGTGCTGTTTTCTATTCCTTTGTGTTTTCAACTTGAACAACTCTGAGGGAGAAAAGTTCTTTCATGCACTTTAAAAAAAAAACAAATTTTTCTCTTACCCAACAGTTGTCATGGTAACCACTGCCCACCAGAAAGCATCCGGGATGCTACTAAATTTGGTTTCTTTGCTATCCTGTTCGGCATAGAACACAGCGCTAGCAAATAACACCACACCGATCATCAGAAAGAAAATGAGCATGGCCAGCTCTCTTGAACTTGAACGCAAAGTGTAGCCCAGCACTTGCAGACCTTTGGAGTGGCGCGACAGTTTGAAGATGCGAAAAACGCGTACCAGCCGAATAACACGGAGCACAGCCAAAGATGTAACGCGAGTTTCGTTCATTGGAAGTGTGATGTAGTAAGGCAGAATCGCCACTAAGTCAATAATGTTGAGAAACGTGCGAATAAAGACTAATTTTTGCGGTGAAGATAGTAGCCGCACGACGTATTCAACAGTAAACCAAGTGATGCATAAAACCTCAATAATAAACCAAACATCATTTTTTCCACTAGTCTTAGTGTCTGAGGTCGTCACATTTTGGTATTTCTCGCAACTGGGGCCTTGCGAGTCTTCCACACATCTATATCTTGGTAAAGTCTCCAAGCAAAATACGATGATCGATAATAAAATAACCGATACTGACCACAAGGCTACAAAACGCGCCGGCAGCGAGCTGTCCGGGTACTCAAATAATTCCCATATTTTCCTCTGTGTTTGATTGGCAGGCATTTTTGGTTTTTCCTCGGCGATGTATCCCTCGTCCACTTCGAGTCGCTGGAGATACTCTTTACCGAGTTCAAAAAACCTCACCTCTTCGGCAAAGACGTTAAATGGAACACCACTCGGTCGTACAAGCTTGCCATTTGATTGATAAAAAAATAAAATGGCCTCGAACGAAGACCGATTTCTGTCGAAAAAGTATTCATTGTTTTCGCTGTCAAAGTAGAAGTCCCTTTTTGCCGCACAGCCAAGCAGTGTCGCCGGGAACTGCGAAAGAGTTTTTTCGTACGTTTCAAACCGAAGGCCACTCACGTTGATGATCATTCTTCGTCCTTTATTGCCATTTTCCTCCTTAGATGTCGGTTTTGTTATCAGAGTCATGGAGTTGCGGCTCAGTCCAGCCGAAGGGGTCGGTTGTTCACCGATGTGATTCAATCCACTGTTGATCTCTTCTTCATCCATTTGACTTCCCGGATTGCAATAAAGCAATCAAAAACAGAGCAATTGACGCTCCTTTAAATTTCACTAAGCGAGTTCGGGAGATAGACAGAAAAAAAAATTACTTCCCCTCGAATGGGTTTTCAATTAGATATTGATCCGCGCAAATTCGATCAAGTTCGATGTTTTCGCTTAAATTTTTGTTCGCTGTACCAAAGTAGGCGACACATACAAGTATGACAGGTGGTTCAAATGAATACAGTTTTTATTGTTTTCTACGCGCTGTCATTTTAGAATTGTAAATTTACAGAAAGGCCAAGCGACATGAATTATTCAAATTGGAAATGTATGCACAACGAGGAGATTTCCTGTTACATTGTTAACTTGTATGAAATCGAGAAATACGCTTTTATATAATGTACGAAAAATATGATAGTAACCTCAGTTTTTGAGCCTAAGGCCAGATTTCAAAAACGTGGGAACATTTATTGTAATGAATAGCTATATTCATCCAAACGGAGACGACATCAGAACGTGGGTGTCTTCGAAGTTGGTTTGGAAGGAAAAAGTAAAATATAGTTACATTATAACATGTTTTGTGGATGTTGTGTGAAAACGATATTGCACAACAAAATCAGTATTATTCTGATTACATAGGTTTTCAAAACCTTAAAACACTACTAGGAAACGTACCCAAAATGTAACGAGCTTGTAAAAACATATAAATTCAAGAAGTCAAAAAAGAAATTTGAATAAGAAAAGACCTTTTATACACGTTGTATACAATGTACAACACGTAGATTTTAGCACTTTTTTATTTCGCCAAAGGTTCAGACTAGGTGTTTAAAGTCGTCTTCTTGTCATAAAGAATTTTACTTTAACTTTGGTACCATTAACATAAAATATTAACTAAGTCGTAAATTTTGGGTCAGGATAGTTATGAATAATGAAAACCCATCCTTAGAACCTACATAAAACCTCAACCTTACCTTGAGTATTGTAAAACTATCCTAAAAAGTTTTAAGTCGTTTATTTACACACGTGCCTTTAAAATCAACAATTTTTATGTTACAGCTTTTCTTTTAGCGCGGGAAACTTATAAACTGAAAAAATATACTATAGTGCTTGAGAAATCTCCGGTTCATTTCGAGAGCCTCAATAAATTATTAATCGCGACTTTAAGACTAATATTCATATACATCAATTCGTGAAACACTCTGCTAAACTAATTGTAAATGAAAAAATGTTGCTGTTTGGTGTTTTTGCGGGTAGGAACAGCATGTCTGCTGAGGTACTTGTAAATCGCTCTTGGTTAATTTTCTTTGGATTGTCTTCCTAATGCAAGGCACTGAAAATTCATTTAACTTCTTCGGTAGAAGAAAAGATCTTTTTATTATAGAGTGACCAGCGAAGAAAGGCCGCATTAAAAATACATCTGTCCCTAATCAATCCTTGTCTTTCCTAGTCTTCGGTCTTTTTGTCATGCTAATTAAAGTGAATAAAACCGCAAAGGGAGTTCATCCTCCCACAACTTGGACAATTCACACGTTACTTTTTTAAAAGCAATTTACGACCGTATATTCTAAATTTCTAGAGCAGTATTTGCCCAAAATTATAATCATTGTATAGTCTCACTCTGTCTGTATAATAGTTGTCAGTAATAATTCCCAGTCTGCTTTTAGTTGCTTTTAATTCAATGAAAATGAGGAGTCTAATCAAACTGGACCTGATTAAGGAAAAAAACTAAATAGCTCATTACAAATTGAATTTTTTAATTTGAGTTTTACTGTCTAGTGAATAAAGAAAGGGGGATGGGGGTGGGGGGCGGGGGCAGAGAGTTTTCAAAAGGAAGAACTACAATATTATTTTATTTTTAGAGCCGAGTTATAACGCCGAGTTTTAAGGTACGATTACACGATACGATTCGCAACGACGATGTTTAGCGCAAAACAGCGTTGCAACGTTGGAACCATTCCACACAATGTCGTAACAATGTTGCAACGCCGTTTTGCGCAAAAAATCGTTGTTGCGAATCGTCTCGTGTAACATCACCTTTAGGCCCCGTCCACACGAATCCGGGCATTTTAAAACCCCATATTTTTACCCAGATTCGTGTGGACAGGGCTTAAGAAGATGCGGTTTCGGCGAGCGAATTTACTGGTTTCGCGTCGTCGACGGAAGGTTGATTCGTGTTAAAAAAAATATACAGTTTCAAAAATATCCAGATTCGTGTGGACGGCGCCTGAAACTCGTCGCCAGGGCCCAGACAAAACTTCGCCGCTACTCATGCATGGCTTTCTGGGATCATTTTACGTTTCTGGGAAACTGCCCCTCTACCCCTTCCCTAAACCAGCATTTTGCCTTAAGTGAGAAGTAAGTGTTAATGTTGGCTTAGGGGAGGGGTAGGTGGGCAGTTTCCCAGAAACGAAAATGATCCGCTTTCTGAATTCCCTATTGCAGCATCTTTTGGCAATCAAACTTAGTTACTTGTCGTTAGACGCTGATGAACGAACATTGTAAGATGGCTGTGAAGCATCTTATAAAGTTCGGGGATCACGGTTGTGAGAAATACTGTTTCTAGTAAGCTTCAAACAAGGCAACCTCGTCCTCAGGGCCTTTAACTTGGATAACGAGACCTTGGGTTCAAAATTGAGTACCAATAAGGGAAATAAAGTGGCTACTTTAAAAGAGGGTGATCTTGGAGCAAGTTCTCCCGCGGATACCACTTAAAGAAAGTAGGTATGGTGACTAAAAACTTGGTCGAGCCACCTTAACTGGAAACAAGGTCACTCATATCTCTTCTGGGCCTCTCTCCTCGCAGAGGCTTCCTCTGGGTATTCCAATACAAATAATTAAGCGCCTGTTAACATGGAGGTGGGGGACCCCGGGTAGGTGAGGTAACCTGCCTGACCATATAATCTCTCATATGGTCACCCCATCCACCTACCATGTAAACGTGATAAAAATGAGAGATGATATGAGCAAGCGGGTTACCCAGCCTAAGCGGATTACCTCACCGACCTGGGGTCCCCCGCCCTGCCTCGTAGCAGTAGCGTGCTTCTCTTTCCCCTTCCCATCATTTCCCGCGCGCTTTCTCCCCCCCCCACCCCCTCCTCCCCAACCTTCATTCGAAAGAAACAGCTCTCTGTAGACCGGGGAGAGAGCCTCTGCGACCTCTGCTACTTCACAAGACCTCACGACACAAGTTTATGTTTAGTTAATCCTTTATTTATTTTGAATTGATTATTTTCGCTTAATACACTCTCACACACCTTTGAAACATCAAAAATTATATTGAATTGTTTTTTCAATCGACTTGACTGATAATTAAGTGTTATTCAGTAGCCATTCACGATAAAATTAGCAAAGAGATTTTATAATAACCAACAGTTTTGAACCGGTTTCTCCTTAACCCAGTTTTGCACCTAGCAATTTTCATACATACTAATACGAAAAACACTAAAATTTAAATCCTAGGGGTTCAGACATTTTTCCTCCGGTACCTGGCATTACACCTAAAAAGAGGAAAAGGTCAAAATTAGACACCTGGGCTAAGTTGTTCGAGGGCAGATTGTTCCAAACCTGCGGTCATTTAAACTGTAATAAAGTTATTACAGGGTCCTTTTCTCTTCTACACAAAAGCAGTCTCCCTGTCAATTTTAATTAGTCAAGAATCAAATTTTAGGCAAATAGAGATAACAGGAAAAATGGTGGTGGGGTCGGTTGTAGTGGTGGCCTGATGACATGGGCGGGCTAAGGCTTGCTTGCTTAGCCAAGTTCGCGACCCCTTAAATAAATGCAACAAAAATCAACTTTGTTATTACATGACAACCGAACCACTCCGGTTACCTGGGATTCCGGTATCCTGATGACGTAATGTCCGTATTACCGGGATAAAAACGAACGTTTCTCGAAATTCAAACCACACCTTGTTGACTTTATGTTCAAAATAAATAGAAAAGATCAGTACCTCAAAAGGCATGGTGGAATTCAACAGTTTCCTTTCCTTCCTCGACAACAGATACCGGTTGATACGGGTTCTGAGAACCCTGAAGGTAGGTCTGTAGAAGAAAAAATTATTTCTGTTACCACTGGCTCAAGTGCGCGGTTACAAGAGAGAATTTGTTCACTATATGACCGCTTTGATATTTTCATCAATTCTTAAAGCCTCCAATTTCGATTTAAATCAGGCTACATGAAAACTAGTACTTTATTCCACTCAGTCCAACATATCAAACGAGAGTGGTGATGCTGTGATAAAACTTACATTGGCGTGGTGAGCCTGTGTCAAAACTACCATAGGTGTAGTCAAGACATTATTGTGTAGTGAACCTGTGTCAAAACTTACATGGGCACGACAAAATCCATTTCTCTTCTCTCCCTCGCTAGCACCTTTGCCAATCCAAACAAAACAATGTTTTCCTGAATCCAAGATGAAAACTGAAAAAAAAAACTTCACAAGTCAGTAGTGGTAGGGGAAAAAAACGACACACGTTGAAACAGCACCAGTGTGTTTGTTTCTATGTCATTTATAGCTTTGTATTCGCTGCATATAGCTTTTGAACCGCAATTAACCCTTCCTTTAACTCCACCATTGTCATCATATGATCTTCCCAGTCCCTAAGATAAGAGGGGGACCGACTTCGAAAAGATTGGCCTAAAAAAGGTAGGAGCCCGGGGGGGGGGGGGGGGGGGCGGTTCCCGGCCCCCCCCAGATATGTTTCGTGGACATGTAACAAACACCGATCCGAAAAATTAAGATTTCGTAACACTTTTTGTTTCTTTCTTTTCGTATTGCCCAACTCACGTCCATGGCCTCCCCATGGGGCCGGGGGGGGGGGGGGAGGGGACGGTTCCCTGCCTCCCCTAGATACGTATATGGGATATGATCAATACACTGTTCCAGACAATGTAGCTGTCGAAACTACTTTTGTTTCTTTCCTTTCGCACTCGCGAACATACGTCCATGGCCTCCCGAGCTAATCTGTCAAATTTCTTTGAAGAACAGTTAACTTAAAACCATCCACAATGCCTTTCGAGATTGTCGCGTGCCTTTTTTCCGATAACCTTTCTTGAAATAGCTTTATGTATCAGTGTATAAAAACACATTTGATTGTAATTACAGACTACAGAGAAGTACTTTGTAAGGAAGTTTTGATCTTTTATATCAATACATGTAAGGAAGTTATGATCTGTTTCACTGCTTTTTCAGCGTGGGTCGATTTTTTTAATTA